GTAATGAAATCCGTGGGCCAGGAGAACAGAAGCAAGTTGATTGTAATTTTGTATAAAATAAAATAAGTAGGCGATGAGTGAGGGTCTTGAGAGGAGTTGCCTTTGAATAAATGCTTGTGCTTTGAAGTTAGGACTCAGTATCTGTGTGACCTGGACACAGAGCTTAACCTTTCTAAGCTTCCCCCTCCCTCTTTTGTAAAATGAGGATAACAGAACCTGTCTTAGGGGCTTGTCAGGAAGACTAACAAGGTAAAATAGTACCTCACTTAATGCACTGCCTGGCCCAAAACAATAGCTATTTTTGGTTTACTAAATGTATTATTAAACATCCGTTTTGTCTGCCTTGGTTTTTGTTTCTCAGCTGCCACACACAGCCTGAGAGATTGATGGGGGCAGCTGCCTGATGTGGCAGAGGGCAGTCAGAAAGGGCTTTCACACCACCGTCTCGTCTGAGTGTAGCGTAAGCCAGAGGGGAGGGGGCACAGGTCAGGATCTCCATTTTCAGGCAAGGAAACTGAAGCTGCAAGCGGGTGGGTGAATTGCTCAAGGTAGACAAATAACCTTTGGTGGAGCCTGGACTCCCAATCAGATTTTCTGACTCCAGACCATTCTCTTCTTGCTTCATCAGTCATCTTCTCCATTTTTCTAATTCAGGCTCATTTGTAAACTACAAAATACAACGCAGTTACGTGCCACGTAACATTTCAGTCAACAACGGACCGCATATACGATGGTGGTCCCATAAGATTTGTACCATATAGCCTAGGTGTGTAGTAGTCTGTACCATCTAGGTTTGTGTAAGTAGACTCTATGATATTTGCACAACAATGAAACTGCCTAACGACACATTTCTCAGAACGTATCCCGGTCGTTAAGTGAAGCATGACTATAGTAAGACAGTGGTCCTATTCAGGGTTTGAAGTTAAAAAATCAGTACAGGAATCCATGCATTCAGCAAGAAATAAATTCTCAGCTAATGTCTACTGGATGTAAAAGCATCACCGTGACTTCATCCCTTCCCACTCTGCTCCTTGCTCACATGTTGCAGCCCCACCTCCTCCCCCAGTGCTCCTGAAACAAAGCTCACGTCTGCTTCAGAGCTTCCCATCACCTAGGGCTTCTCATCATTGAGGTCTCTGCTCAGATGCACCTCCCTGACCACCCACCTCCATCCCTGTCCATCCATTCCCCTGCCCAGTGTTCTCCTAGCACTGAGGACTCTGAAATTACCTAATTTATTGTTTACATGTTCATCGTCTGTACCTCCCAACAGAGTGGAAGCGCCACATCTTGCTCATCAGTACCGTGTTCTCAGTGCGTGACAGTGCCTCCTATATGGGCGCACAGTAGATATTTTGGTCAAGAATGCATGGATGGATTCTATTGCAGGAGTGACACTATTATTTAAAGTCATGGGTCTTTTAAAAGGAACTATAACATTTAAAACTTGACATTCAAATTTCTTATTCAATGTTATATGAATGAAAGAACATCGTGTAGAAAAGCTGTGGATGAAAGAGAAGGAAGGAGAGACATCTATTAGGTCTTGCACCTGATCTTTAAATTGCAATAACACTGAGAAGGGTGATTCCTAATAACAACATGAGGTTTAATTTTATATATCTGTATCACTTGTAGATACAATCTATAATTTTATAAATCTGATATTTTATACACGGTGACACTAAGAGACGTCAACCAGACCTGAGTCTCTCATTATCAGTAGTTATTTTGTTGTTCTGCAGATAGAGCTCAGCTGTGCTCTTGTCCAGTTCTTCTCAGCTGACCCAGTACTACTTGCATGAGATTCTGCCTCAGTCCCGTAGTTCTTCACCATTGTGGAGTCACAGACTTCTCTGAGGCAGTAATGAAAGTCACCGAGCTGCACCCCAGAAAATGCACATATGCATATCACACACAACTTTATGCAAAATGTCAAGGAGTTTGTGGACCTCAGGCAAAGAAGGCTTACCTTGGTGACTTAAATTACACTTAGGACACAATACATCTACATATAATTTGTCAAGAAATACTTGCCAAGCATAAAAAATACCTAATAACATGGTATTGGCTCTCATAATTCAGTAGAAAACATAACAAAGTAGATACATACACACATACATACAATAAATAAGCGCCAAACCAGTAATTGTGACCATGTGCTTCAAGAGTTCAGAGGCAGGAAAGACAAAGATGCTCTAGGAAGATTTCCCCCCAGGGGACAGAGCATTTCAGTTCGGGGGAACAGCAGGAGCTGAAATGTGGAAGTCAGGAAATGTAGCAGTGTAGCCAGGAGGAAGATGGGAATGGCAGGTCAGGGGGGAGCTAGGGTCCCGGCCTGGGAGTGCACCATAGAGCCGAGGACAGGAAGCTGTAAAGGGTGGGCCGGATGGATGAAAGAAAGCAAAGGAAGAAGCTCCACTCCTTGAAGCCTTTCTGTTTGTTTTTAACTTAACCTCCACCAACAAAAATCATTATCGGAAATATCCAACAGCCATCAGCCATAAAGTTAATGGGGACTCGGATGCATTCTAGGGCTTCATTAGAAGGTCAAGACGCCACAATAAATCTGATCTGTGCCTCTAGTTGTGAAAATATAAACTTAGCTATTCTGCACTTTCAACATAACTCTGCTTATAATTCCTTACACATGCCATGCTATTTGTCTCTTTGCCTTTACTCAAGATGTGCCCTCTTCTAGGAAAGACTTTTATTTGCCTGACAACCATTCATTTCAGACCTCATCTCTTTCAAAAACTTCTGATGCTTCTCATCACCAGATGGGGCCATAGCCTGTGCTCATCAGTGCTGCTGTAGCCCCCACTGTATCGAAGTGATTGCTCACCAGGTTAACTCCCTCCGTGGGAGGCTGCCTGGCTTACCTTTACATCCCTAGTGCTTAGCTGTGGTTGTGCTATCTCGGAGGCCACTGCATGCCTCCCCATGACAACAGACACCTCAGATTCCGCCTGTGACCCTCCAGAACCATGATTCCAAACTCGACGTTCGGGTATTTTTTTCTCAACTAAAATTCAAGACCATTGTTGTTTGTTGCTGGAGGTGAGGTCACCAGTGGGCTTTTGAAACAACATACATCTAAGTGCCAGGTCCTCAATGCCTGTAACTGGCGCGTGCTGCACCTGCTGTTCTGGAATCTTTGCCCTGAAGGCTTTGCTGCTGGAGCCATTGCTCCGTAGGTCCCATGTTGGGCACAAGGTGCAGGCTGCGATCAGGTCACCTGAGGAGTGTGTCATGGCCTGCTTCTCAGAGGCCATGGTACCCTGCTTAAATGTCCCCTTCTCGCTGGGGCGGGGGCGGGGGGTGTGTATTCCCTGACCCCAAGGGAAAATGAAGGTAACCTATTAGTCACTCCATCCTCTTGTTGCTTTATTTTCTTCACGGCATTTCTCACCGTCTGAATCCTTATTGTGATTTCCATACCTTTTATATGACATTTTATTCACACAAGGATTATTCTTGTAAAGTTTCTAATATACTTCAGACAGAAAGTCAACTTCTTAGTATTTCACTTTTTTCCTTTTTATTCTTAAAGGAGGATTCTCTGGCTCACATTTCAGACGTGGAAGAAGTTTGCAAAATTTATGAAGGAGGAAAGAGTAAAAGAAGAAAGACGTGAGCAACTCCGGAGGAAGGTCGCTGAAATCCTTCCAGACTTCCAGGTGCTCGCCCCACCGTGACTCAGTCGTACCAGCAGACACTGGCCTTTGTGAAAGAGGAGTCCTGGGTGCAGTCAGCATGGCCCAGTGCAGTGTCTACAGTGGGGCTCTCGATTGGTCCATCCTATGTGTGTCACCTCCACCCACCTTAGGTGCACATCCCTGGTTCATGTTCTGTCAGATACTTCTCAGATCAAAGGAATTATTCAGGGAATTTGTACTTCCTTCTTTGATTTCTCTTGGATTGCTAATCAGTTCACTCAATCATTTATCACAGCAGGATCATCAGGAGGAACAGTCTAGAGCTCTGCTGTTCCAATGTATCTTAGGTATTTTTAGCCTTGTAAACTTTAAGAAAGATAAGTGTTTACTTGCCTGAGCCTGTAAAGGAAAATGTGTCCTTGCAGCTTAATGTACATTGTTGACAAATGTAACTTTAATAGAAATCAAAAGTAGTCACTACTTAGAAAAGGAGTCCTAAGTGGTCAGTCTTCTAGAACCTTAGCATCAGCAACAGGCATTCTGCCAGACCCCGCCCTGTGCCCGCTCCCAACGGAAGGCCGTGTATCAAAAGCTAAGTACGCAGCTGCTGGAGGGCGGCATGGCCTGAGTGCAGAGACACTGGGGCAGCAGACAGACAGTCCTCCCCAGTGCACCTCGACAGGCGTGAGGGGATTCCAGAAGCTAAGGACCCTGCCAAAAGCAGTCCAGCAGTTCGTTAGAATGTCTGCGCATGCTCCCAATCGCAGCTTCCAAATGACAGACTCGACCTGTCTTCTGGTCCTCAGCTCAGTTTGATCTACACATTGAGATACCATCCAGAATTCAAAGAATACTTGAATCTTTAAGGTGTTAAAGACTGACAGAATGCTCCCTTCTGTGAATTGGCTCAGAGAATTAGCTGCTAGGAAAAAAAAATTTCAGTACAAAATACATGTTTATTACAAATTCAGGCAGTCGATGAGTGTGCGCCCAGTAAAACGAGGAAGGCCCTTGCGGCCCTGAGGTAACTGCTATTATCTGGTAAGTTGAGCATTTGAGTTGGTAAAATAAAATTCTGTGTGGTGTTCAGTAAAGCCTGTTATTGTCTCTTACTTCCAAGAAGGGATATCCAGCTACAGCGCCTGCAAAACGACTTACATCCTTCTTCTACGGAAGATGTGTGATGATTTACTCAGCTGACAACACACCCTGAATTGAACTTCACTTCTTCTACAATGTTCCTATCCCCACACATCTTCTCCTTTAATATGATTATACAGTTGTCATCTAAAAACTCTTTTCAAGATTAACGGCCACTGAAGAAAACAGGACTAAAAAGAATTCATACTTCATCTTTTTCCATTTAATCACTCTCTACTTATACTTAACTGTAATACAGTTGCAGAATATTGGCTGATATTAGCACCCAGGACTCAAATACCAATTTTATTTCAACGCCAAGCCTGTAGGTAAGGAAGGGTGAATCCCTCAGGTACACATGCCAGGGGCCTAAATCAATCCCATAAAGCTCAAGTCCTCTCTCTTAAGCTTTCTTTTATTTTTCTTTCACCTCAAGCAACAATTAGAAATTGAGTCTAGCAGCCCAAATTCTGATTGTGCCAACAAGAAGTTTTTACCTACTTACAGAACCTTCTGGAGACAGGAAAATTACTTAGTAAATGACCTGTGTTTCTTGCTGGACTATCTTAAAGGTATGATTTGAAATGTTACTGCTAACATAATGCCCAAATAAGCAGTACCCCTGGCCTACAAAACTGGGAAATCACCACCAGGAAAAGGACAGTGTAGGGCCACGGATAGGACAGGTCCGCAGGATGGGGACATCGAGGCAGCTGAAGAGGCAGCCTAGCTAAAAGGCAGGGTTTTCTTAAAGCAAGAGTGTGCGGGAAATATGCCAAGAAACACCAACTATTTTCCTTAAAGAAAGCACTTTATTTTCCATTTAAACAACTTGGTCACAGTACATTATTTTACATAAATGGCAGTAATTTTTTAAAATCTCCATTTAAAAGGCCTTGTGTCTGAGTCTGAGGTGGTGAGAGGATATGAATACAAGTATAAAAAGAGTGCAAAATTTTTAGCCCGCAGCCTCCAGAGTTGGCTTCAGAAATCTCCTTTAACATTGCTGGGCCGGTTACATTAAATATTAAATTTACTATTAAATAAATACTCCTGGGTTTCCTTTAGTCTAACATCAGACCCAGAAATGTAATCAAAGGCAAGGCTCAAAAGCCCTAACAAGTCAAACCATCAGATCACCAGACCAGAGGATCACGAGCTGAGCAAGTTCTAAATATGGCATCTTGTCAGGGGCTCCATCTGAAGAAATACAGAATTTTAGCTGCATCAATAACTGGAATAGACTAGCTCTGGTTTTAAAGCTTTGCCTTTAAAGTAGCAATCTGCTAGAAGTGAAAGGTGCAATCAGGAAGGCTAGACCAGTCATAAGTCACAAGCCCACCACGGAACAGCCACAAGCTCTGACAAATTTGTCTCCATTCACCATGCAGTCTTGGGCCTGCTGCTGATGCTCCGGGGGAACAGTCAGCGCCAGCTGAAGTGGGGATAATTGTCCATTAGCAACAGGATTAAATTTAGCCGATTTTGCAAAAAGTCTGTATCAATCACAGCAAACATCCACAAGAACACACTGAATTCTACTCAGCATTAAGCACGGCTCTCCTCCCCTGCGTCACCTTTGCAACGTTTAATATAAAATGGCACACTTGTCACGCTGCTGAGGAGAAAACCAGATTCCAAACAAGCGCCTCAAGCAAAACTCTCTATTAGCCATTGCTTGTTTGAGGAAATTCTCCTTTTTAAAATGCAGGGTACCAAAATATGGCTAAAAGGAAGTCAGGTCATATAAACCCACTTACCTAGTTTAAAGAGACCCTTAAACCTCACAAAACGTTAATTTTTAAACATCCTGGTTAAAACTGTGCTTCTAGACATCACACTTTTGCTTACATTAGTTGAGTTCTGTAATAAAAAGCTAATGTCCTACCCAAAGGAAAGAGAGCCTATTAAGCGGATGGTCAGTATCAAGGAGAGCCTTACTGGCATTGTGCTTTCTGGCAGTGGAAGATTCCGGTATAGAAAATTTACTCCTGCTAAAAATATTAGAAGTACCAAGGACTACTGCATAAGAGAATGTTTGTAGCAGTGTTTCTGTGAGGGAGATGGTACGGTGGAGGACGATTACTTCATTCACCAAAGAAAACACTACCTGGAGAGCAAAGATTTACAGTATCCTCAACAGACACTCAGGCGGCCGACATGACAGAGCAGCACAGTGTCCCTAAAGCACAATTAAGGCCTGACTTCAGCAGCATCAGAGAGACCGCCCAAAGAGGCGCCGATAATGGTCAGTTCACTTCAGATGGACCCAGCTACCACCACGGACTCTTTGGGTATCAAAAGAAACATTTTAAATATTGAAGGATTTTTCTCCTTTCATGAAATCCTCATCCTTAACTATTTCTCCCTTGAATCTTTCAAACGGACCTGTTTCTACAGGAATAGTACACACTGGCAGAACAGTAATGTCAGTGGTCAGAATACAGTAGCTCATTTATTACGTTCCACATCCAGTATGCGTTTAACAGAGGCTGAGGACGCTGGGGAGAGAAAGGAACCCACTTGTCCGGAACTATGTTGGGAGGAGGGTGGGTTGTTCCTATGCCCAAGAGACTGCAGGTTTATAGGTTTGCAGGGCAAGTGCCCATGGCTGCCACAGCCACATGTTTCTCTGGGACTCATTTGTTCACAGAGGCCCTGTCCTTTCAAAGGACAAACTCCTTCAAATAGCTACAGATCATAAATAGGCTTCAGAGTCTAGGAGTCTAGGCCAAGGATGTCCCAGAGCCGACAGACACACTGCTCACAGAGCGCCCCTTGTTTGCTACTCCTTTTGGTTCAAGTATTTCAGGAGGTGTTGACCCCCATGAAACCACTGAGCTTTTCAAAAGGTTTGAGCTTTCTTCTGTAAACTGCCAGTTGTGAAGTTCTCAAGGAACTTAAAACAAGCCTCTCAATTCCAGTAAGCCAGACTAATATACAAGGAGTCCTTATCCCAGTGAGGGAAAAACGGAGCTGTCCCATCCAGGCAACCCTGTGAGGGGTGTGCTGTATAAAGATGGTGAGCATTCCTATTCTCCCAAATGACTTTGGTCTTTTGGGTACTATTCATCTTCGTTGCATGACATTTTGATTGTAAAGATTTGGCAAGAAGCTAAAATTACTGACTATACTGATATTTCTATGGACTTTATTATCAATTGTTAGAAAGGGTTGGCTATACATCTGGCATTCAAGAGAATATAACTAGAGATTTCTGGCCACATGTGCTATCCTTGGCATTATTACTCTCTCTTATCTCAAACCTATACAGAAAGGAATTTGTTATATCAGATCCAATGTTAATTCCAAATGACTGCTCAACTCTTGCCCAGGGCGAGGGTTTTCCTGTAGAAACCACAGCCTCTGCTCACATCCCCAGACTGGCTCTTTGGCTCATCCCAGTGGAAGATGGAGACTGCTCATTCAACAGTCCATCTCTGGGGAGAACAACGATAAGCCTGCATAAAAATGTGGCGTCCGTCTCAAGGATAGCCTCGATCAATAGCAGGACTAGGGACGGTGCCAGCTACAGAGGGTAGAGTTGCAGGAAGTAGCAATATTTCCTCTCAACACTTATAAACCTCTTGCTACAGAAGCATGCACAGACAGTCTGAAAAAGCTGGCAATATTTTCCCTATATTAAGCTATAAGCCAAGGCAAATTTAAGGACTCATGAATTATCTTTGGGATTGCAAAAAAAGTACATGTACATAACCATATTTTTCAAGAGGGTATTTTACCCATCTGAAATTGCCTCATCTTAATTCTGTGGCAGAACAGACCATTCTATATAATAACTTACTCCTTTATACATTTTCAGTTTTGAGATATGATTAAAGAAACAACTTGATATTTTAGGAAGAGCTGGGGAAGAACAGCAATCCATTAATGAGTGGAAACCACAGGTACTCTGCTTTTTCTCTCCTAGAGAGACTTTTATCTAGGGAAAGGTGAATGGGAAGTAATGTGCAAGTTAAGTGGAAAGATGTCAGTCAACTCCTCAAAGAGTTCATGCCAGAATAACGTGAATGCCAGAACGCTGGTTTTTGCAACTTAGTGCCATAACTGACGGAGTCTGAATTACTTACATGAACAAAAAAAAATCAAGCCCTTGATATTAATCAGCCACCATACCCAGGAAAGAGAGTAAAGTTCAGCATAAGGGTGTCTGTTCTCCTCTTCCAGCCATTGTCACAAGTGTGCTAGCACCTTACCAGGTGAGTCATGGAAAGAGAGAAAAACATTAATGCCCACTGGAGTTATTTATAGGAAATCCAAACAGAATAAATACATAAGAAAATATAAGAATTCATCACCTAAACTCATGACCACTATCCATCATACTAGCAATAATTATTTCATGATTGTTATCAACTGTCCTTTCAAGGTCAGATGACAGCAGAAATCCATCTGGTCGTCTTCTACCCTGTTTGAGTAGTTAATGTCTCAAACTTGAGAGAGAGACATTCCCCTAACTGTATGACACGGTACTTGGGGACCTTTTTTTCGCTCTGAAGTGCTCAGAATGGATTACTCTAATAATATTCCCTTCGATGTTCTGACCTCCAATCATTTTTTTCAGTCTTAGGATTTTCCTAACAATACTTCACACCTCTCGGGTGCTTCAGTTGTTTTTCAGTGCCTTCCACATCCCTCACCCCCGACGTGATCCTCATGGCCACTCTGTGCGGTGGCCAGGGCAGCATGAGTACCCCTCTCTACAGATGAACCTGAGACTCGGGGAAGGGACACGACTGAGGGTCACATGGCCATTAGGAATTGAAAGAGGGACTAGAACCTGTCCTAATCCAGACCCTTCCTCCTGTGCTAATGGACACGAACTGCTTCTATCCATGTGCGTGTTAGTAATCCACCTCCTTTTCAACTTCTGGTGACTGAGTGAGTTAACGAGGTGACTGGAAAGGAATGGCTCTACTTTCACTGCTTCAATATAAAAATCTCTTAAGTTGTGAAATCAGAAATACTAACTTCTTCCCAGTCCAGTCTCTAACCCTGAGCATGGCCCTGTAATGCCTTTAAGAACCTGGGGATAAAAACGAACATCCAGCATGGACACTGAAGTGTACGATGGAAGGGAGCGGAGGGAGGCGCTGTCCCTCAGAGAGAGCCGTTTAGAAGGCACTTCAGACAATGTCCTCAGCAGGGTGATGGAACGGGTGAGCGCCCAGGGTGGAGAACTGGTGCCAGTTCCGCAGGAAGCCCCTATTGTACTGGCCTGTGTCCACGATGAGCCCACAGAGAAGCCGGCGCCCCGTCTTCTGTCGAAGCGCCTGCTGGACTTCCCTCTCCGTCACGTTGTAACTGATGTTGATGAGCTGGATCAGGAAGATGTAGGCCATGCCTGCTGTGATGATCACAGAGTACCACACGCAGGTAAAGGACAGAGCCGAGCTGGGAGGGGAGAAAGGGCCAGTCAGGGCTGCTGGTTTTCTCACATTCAGAAAGCTGTCACCATTCTACATTTTACACACATAGTACTTATTACTAAGGCCTTTGGCACCTTCCCCATCCGAACTGGAAGATACTTTTCCATCCTCGGAACACCAATAACTTCTACTTACATCTTAAAATTATTGGTACCTCTTTTCCTAGTATGTTATACTAGGACAGCAATGACTGTTTTTTGCATTTTGTATCCCCCACACAACCAACACAGCACCTGACATAACAGTGTTCAAAATCTGTTTGCTGAATGAAGGAATAATTCCTAAATTCTTCTTAACAGGAGAAAACACAGGTGCCATGAGCTTGCTATAACCATCCTCAAGGCAGCCGCGGGTGAGAACCCAGGAAGCATGCTAGCTATTCCTCTCCGTTCTCTTCAGCCCAGTGCTGATAAACACAAGACAGCCCCCAATCCTGGAGGGCCCCTCCTTACGAGCTATGTAGGAGCACCATCCCATTTCAAATTCAGCTTCCCAAAGCCAAATGGAATCACACAGGACAAGAAAGCTTTCAGCTCACTGATAAGACTGTGAGGAGAGGCTGTGATTAGCGTCTGCCGACTGGTCATTTTCATTCAAACCTTGGCAAATGAGTTAGCTGGGAATAAATTCATTTAGAATCATTTGTTCAATCGGAAGGGACCTCAGAGATGATTAAGTCACCATAAAGACGAGGAAAACCAAGGCCCAGCGAGGAGATGTGAATGGCCTGTATGGGGCAGAGCCACCGGTGAGAAGTAATGGCAGGACTGGGTTCCTCATTTGGTTTAAGCAGCCCACAGAAAGTTCACAACACTCCTGAGTAACGTACAGACAGGCTCTGCTTTAAGACGTTCATCACCCAGAGTGCTACTGAAAGATCTTACAACTACTAAGACTCTCAACAGAGAGAGAAAAGAAATTTATCCTGAGGAGGACGACCAACCTATTCTAATAATGCCCATCAACGTCTAGATCTATGACGGCAATGAGGAGATCTGCCCAGGGACTCGCAGAAACAATTACCTGCATGAGGTACTCTGTAGATTAGGTAAGGAGGGCTCTGGCAATGAAGAGAGAGAAGAGGACCGTATGAGCAGAGCTGCCCCAGCTCACACTGGGGACCACAGACACCACAGGGCACCCACAACAGAGGCAAACTATAGAGAAGGAACAACGAACATGCAGGGGGAGCTCGTGGCATCCTGGGAGGGGATGGCTGAGGCCAAAGCTGAAAAGTCCCAGCTTCTGCCCAAACCTGGAGATCTTCGCAATCTATCAATGTGCCCCAGCCTAACGATGCTGAAGGAAATTTTGACCTAGATACCACAGTAATCATGAGTGGTTATTAAAAAAAAGTAGAACAGGAAAAACCCATGGAGGTTAAAAAGAAAGGAAAGGTCATAGAGATTGTGAGCACTTCACAAAAAAGTCAGAAACAGTACATTAAGATTGGGCTAAAAAGCATCAGAAAGCAGCCATAAAGTGAGAAGTTCCCTGATATTTATGACAAAATAAACCACATACACACCCAGGGACTGCTAGTTTATTGTTTTTGTCTCATTGTTGCTACCTGGGGCACGTGGCAGTCATTTGACCCTGGAAGTCCCTGATTAAGCCTGGTCCAACTTGTAGAGTACTAGTGCCTCACTTTCTAAGGGTCAGTGATCCTTTGGACGTCACCCTAGAAAAAATACACCTATCCACTACACGATTTTTGTTGGCAGCCCCATAGCCTGTCCTGTGTTTTGGTTGAGAACTCATAACCTAGCAGCAAATCATAGCCCCTTGCATTAAAAGCAACACCCATTCCCTCTTCTGCGGGCCCCTGTGCTGTGGTACCCGCATCTCACCTGTAAGTTGCATAAACTCCAGGACAATAGAAGAGGGCTGTGAAGACACTTCTGTCTCTACAAATGGTGTCCAAGGTCAGCGCTATCCCGTACACCGACGTGAGCAAGAAGATCGAAAGAGCAAGTATAAATGCTTGATGATTTGATTCTCCGACACAGCTATTTATCCTCAAAACAGCATGGGGGGGAGAAAAAGCAAACACGTTTTAAAAAGGTCTCTATGAAACTCACATCATCAACAAGAGAGCTCTTCAAACAGGGATGGTGTGAATTTCAGTTACTACAACATTCTCTTATTTTTCAAGTTTAGGCAATTAAAAAGTTGTCCGCTGGGAGATGTAGTCTTGCATTCTCTGCTCTTTCCAAAGCGAAATCATATCATTAGTTTAAGGACAAGACTAAGTAAAAAGCAGAATCCTAGGGGCCGGCCCAGTGGCGGAGTGGTTAAGTTCACACACTCTGCTTTGGTGGCCCAGGATTTGCAGGCCTGGATCTCGGGCACGGACCTAGCACCGCTTGTCAAGCCACGCTGTGGCGGCATCCACATAAAATAGGCGAAGATTGGCACAGATGTTAGCTCAGTGACGATCTTCCTCAAGCAAAAAGGAGATTGGCAGCGGATGCTAGCTCAAGGCCAATCTTCCTCACAAAAAAAAGCAGAACCTGGCTAACAAATCTTTCTAAATAGAAATAAATGAAGTCTTTTATCCAACTATGAAGAGAATTAATATTGTAATCACCACACAAAGAAAGGGTGATGTCAGAGTTACGAAAACTTAAAAATGATGTGGACGATAAACAAACACATAGATAAAGAGAACAGACTAGTGGTTACCAGAGGAGAAAGAGGTGGGGGAGAGGGCAAAAGGGATAAAGAGGCACATGTGTACGGTGACAGATAAAAACTAACCTACTGGTGGTGAGCACAACACAGGCTACATAGAAACTGAAATATAACAATGTACGTCTGAAATTTACACAACGTTATAAGCCAAGATGACCTCGATAAAAAAAAAATGCTAAATCAGAAGTATTACACAGTATGGGAAAATCTGTTAAAATATATGTATTAAGAAGATCCACAGAGGTTAGAAACATGGCGTGTGTGGAACTCGGTAATATCCTGACTACCTGTCAGGTACAAAGAGTCGCGTGTCACAGCCATTTGTAGGGCATGATGTACAGGCGGCCCTTCTGCCCACTGTGCACACGGATGTCCCAGTGGGCAAAGATCTTCTTCTAAGCAAGGCTGTCAGGCCGTCTGCAAACCAGCACTTGTAAATGGGCTGCCACACCCCCACACACACACAGAGGAAGAAATGACAAAGATACAGAAGTGGAAAATCTAGAAATAAAAATACCTGTTTACTCCTAAAGACCAAGCCCTAGCAAGGAGCCGTCCCTCTACCTGAGCCCTGCACTTGAGGTCCACCCCGATGCCCTCCTGGCCTTCCCACACCCACACCTTTGTCCCCTTCTGAGGGGGAGGTACGCTCCATGACCGGAATCCCGGCTGTAAAAAGCATAATTCATTGACCTGACTGCCTTCAGAGGAATACACTTGTAAACAGGCCACTTACAGCATTCACATCCGAATTAACTACACCTCCCTTAGCTTAGAGATTTATTCAGTAAAGTAGCAACATTATCTCTAAAAGTTGCACTTCCTATTTTATGGACCTTAACGTGTCTTCATTCGTCAGTGGCCAGCCAAGAGGTACAAAAAAAAGCCCATCTCTCCACAAATAACCAAATAGGGAGTTATCTGGTAGGCCTTTAACTCAGTAACGCAGAAGTCATTGGTAGCATCAAAATGATCAAGGATGTACAGTGAGAGGACAAGAGTCACCCAAAGATACAGGAACACCTTCTTGAGCTCTGTGTTCAAAAGGAATAGCACAGGAAAATAAGCCTATACTGATTCTAAGAAATTCTTAAAAAAAAAAAATCATTCAACTGTAGATCTCTTTTAGAAAGGAGAAGATAAATGAGGAGCAGCTCAAAAGAGAATAGCAAAATTGCCAAAAAAAAAAAAAAAAAAACCCTTCAGGAAATGACTGAAGAACTAAATTTGTGAAACTCAAAAAACTGATGACTAAGTGGGAACATCAGAACAGCCCACAAATATCTACAAGGTGTAAAGCTGGGAAGGAGACATTTTAGGATGGCACAAGGATCAACCACGGCAAGAGGCTCACGGGAATCTACACTTTGGGAGCCTCCCAATTTTTCCAACATACCAGACGCAATGATGATCCATTCTCCTCACACAGATGCCACAGATCCGGCAATGCCACGCCCGGGCTGGCCGCACCAGCTGGCACTTGGCACACCAGTCCTCCTTCACCTTGGTGGGGCTTCCAGCCAACGTCCTGGAAGAGCCCTTCAGATCATCCTTGGGCGTGCGGTTGTTGAGACCGCCTGATGACTCTGCGCCAAGGAACCCTTTGGTCTTCTCCTGCCCTTTCGGGTTCAGGCATTCCATTTGGCTGCTGCTTACAGATCTGTCACCGCTTGCTGGATTTCTGAGGTAGCCTGGATTTTTCTTGGCTCTGTACAAAGCTAAGAGGATCAGAAGTAACCCGCAAGTAAGAAGAGCCAGCTGAGTGGGCCTCACATGCCCTTTGGGGACCACTTCTTGCAGGAAGACGTAGTACATGTAGCCCAGAGAGAAGAGCCCGAGGCTCAGGAAAAACAGGGTCTGCTCCTTCCTCCTGTGAGTGAGGTAGTAGTACCACAGAGCCAGCACAGGGAGGGAGGTCAGCACCACCGCTCCCAGGAGGAAATGCCAGGAGGCCACGCGGAGGAAGACGGGCAGCAGGACGAGTGGGGGAATGATGCTAATGTTAACTTTTTTGGCTCCCCTAAGCCAAGGAACTCGGAGGCGATCAGAGATGGTATCCATGATTCTTTCACAAGTCTCTGGTTGCACAGATTTACACGTAATCCATCTATCCAAAAAGAGCACAAAGAGAAGGCACTTCATATGGGTTTGTTGAATCAAAAACTGAACACTGTAGGCCAAACAGCAGGATAAATGATAAAAGAGGCCAAGGGCCAAGTAGTCTACTTTCTTACTACTAACCATGAGTTTTTCAGGCTCATGGATCATTTTGTAATGCAAACAAGAAGATAACGTTTAGAAATTCAACAACTAAAACTATTTCTCCACAAAACAAACCCACAGGAATACACACATATTCCACACAACTACTGTTTACACTTGGGTGGGTGTACACACCTAAGATTCTCAAAAAAATTCACCATCTAGTTTGAAGACAACACGAGAATTCAAGAAATATTAGATAAGTGACAAAGCAGCAAAATCACCCAACAAACTATTATGGTGAAACATCATGAGGAGCACTCAGAGGAGACTGAACACTTCTGGGTGGAGTCATTCGAGGGGTCTTTGCAGAAAAGCTGGGCTCTGTGCTCGCCCTTGCTGGCTGGCTAGTATTCGTATGGCTGGAGAGGAAGGGAGGGAGGTGTCCCAGTAGAGTCGGGCGTGTGGCACAAACCTGTCCTGGGCCTGCGGAGTAAACCAGGTCAGTGGGGGCAGGGATCTGAATAAGGAAGAGCGGAGATCAAACCAGTGGGAGTCAAACAGCTGAGACTGGTGAACACGTGGCATTGCTGACTTTTTTGCACACTTGGGCTAGTAAGGAAAGGAACAGTTTAAGGAATGAGAACATTGGTTTAAGGCAATTAAAAAAAGTAGGGCTAGAACCTGGAAGTGAGTGGGAGATAACTATAGGGGAGTCCCACGGACCAGTGGGACAGTGGAATGCTGGGAGTATCTCCAGAGAAGGGCATGGAGAGAGCAGAGACTCAGGGACAGCCCAGGTCTCGAGGGCTGGGAGGGAGGATGCATTAGAAGGTTAATGAAGAGCTGTGGGCGTGAGTTAGAGGCTATGGAAACAGCATTACTTCTCCACTCATTAGTGCAAAGGGCTCCATTTTCTCAGTATGGATTTTAGATGAAGTCTAAAGAACCTCTATTTAATGACACTTGTAAAAAAGACTATAGACACTGTCAAGGAAGGATTACAAGGGGGTTGTAGGGTCTTCAGGAGTCAAGGTTGGTTACCAGACTACAGTGGTCCCCAAGAATGCTCTTCATGGCCAGATTAACGCACCAAGCACTAAGGTTGCAATTTACCATTGCAGTGATTTTCTTTAACTAGAAATTATTATTAATGGGAAAAGCAAGTTTCCAACCTCCTTATTCTTCTCACATAATGCTTTTCCTATGACAATAGTTTTTAAATAGAAAATTATTTAGAAAATGGATATAAACCAGGTTATTACTGTTTGGTACAAAATTCTTTCAGTGATGTTGAAAGTTATCTTTTAGGATAGTAATTTCCATCACTTGGGATCATGGTGAAAACAAAAGCCACATACAATAGCATCACTCAAGACAGTGTTGCTGCTCATGCTGAAAGCAGCCAGTCCAAAGGAGGGACATGCCTTCTGCATGGATCTCCTCCCCAGAAACAAGGGGGGAGACCAATTCCAACAGCAGGAAACCATCTTTCATCCCTCAAGGCCCTTTGTGGCCAGGTGCAGTCCAGTCCCAAGAGGTCATTCTCTAAATGCTGAGACCACTGGGAATGTAGGAACCTTCTAGTACTACTGCGTTCATTTTAAACTTACAGATTCTGCTGGCGTGCATTGTATTTTTTATACATTTACCTTGCCTACTATGCCTTTATCTGCCTATTATCTCCATCATCTTCTCCTTTTAAATGAAAAATAATTTCCTAGTAAACTGAGCTGAAGAGACAGCTGTGCACTACTGAGTAATTCATCTTTATAAAATTCTCACACATGATGGAGAAGAAAACTCTCAATTTTAGCTCCTTGGAAACAGAATCAAGAGCCAGTTCTAGTGTTCTAGATGGCCAAGCTGAACGTGGACACGGTGGTTCTCAAAAGGGCCAGTGGCGTCAGCGTTAAGACACGCAGCTCTTACCTATCACACCCTTCGTCCAGATCTTGGCAATCACACAAACAGGCGGCCACGTGGTTCTTCTCCCCATTTCGATCGATGTACTCGCAGCAGCACAGGGGCTCCAATTCAGGGTCTTCTGCTTTGTTTTTCTTCACTGGCTTCATGCTGCTCTTCCGTGTCACGATTCCCACCTGTCACCATCAGGCGTAAGAAGCCCTCAGAAGGTAACGGTGGAAAGAACACAACTCACATCTTGTAAACACATCCACGCCTCTCTGATCAACCGCCAACGCCTGAGAAATCAAAAATGAGACGAAAGAGGGGGAGGGGGCCCCGTTTGCATCGGGCTTGTGTGGCTCGGCTCGGCCAGACCCGGAGCTCTGGGGCTCCGAGCCGCCTTCACCGCCCCTTCCCATCCAGGGCAGGCGCCGTCTGGGCACCAGCCGTTCCCACGGCGACCGCCGACCACGCGGCCCGGGACGGTCGGGCGCAGGCGGCCGGCTCACCTGCGGGCGCGGGCTGGGGCGGGGCGGGCGGTCCCCGCCCGAAGCCTGGGCGCGGGGGGAACCTCACCCTCGGGGCTGCAGGCAGGGCAAAGCGTGTGCCCGCGGGGGCCGGCGGACACGCCCGGCTGCTAGGGCCGGCCGCCCGCGCTGGGGAAGCCACCCGGCGCCCGGGCTGCGCTCGGGGTCGCCGTCCAGCTCGGCTCCTCCGGCCTCGCGCAGGGTCCCGCCCCCGCCAATCGCACGGCCGTGGGCGGGCCGCGAGCGCCGCCCCGCCCGAAGAATGACCTTGGGAGGGAAGTTACCTGCGCTCCGGGGCCGAGGTGCGGCGGCAGCCGGGGCGGCTGAGGCGGAGGGGACAGGGGTCGGCCCCTCCAGACGCGCGCACGCGTCTCCCGATCTCTGCTCCGCGGGGCTCCCGGCGTGACGGCTGGAGTCGCGGGGTCCCTGGCTCCGCGCTCCCACCTGTGACCACAGCCAGCCGCGGCCGGGCCGGTGCGCCCGCCTCCCCGCGCCGTCCCCGCCGCCCCGCGGCCGGCCGGCTAGGCGCCCCAAGTCCGCGCGCGCTTCCGGGTACCCCGCCCCCGGCGCCGGGGATGCCGGCCCGCCGGCACGTGCACCGCCCACCGCCCGGCGGAGCCCCGCGAGGCCCCTCCCCCGCCCGCGGCCCCGGCGCCCGAGGACGCGAGGATCTCAGGACGCGCTCCCGGGCGCGGGGCCGCCCCCGCCCCTCCCGGGTCCGCGGGTGCCTGCGGGCGGAGCGTGGGCGGGGCAGCTCCGAGGCCCTCGGGCCGGGGGAGGGGCCGAGACGGAACTGCGGGAAGCCGGGGCACCCGGAGGCCGCCTAGAGGACGTGAGCCCCGGGGGCCGGGCAGCCCGCACCGCCCGCAAAAGGCGACGGGGAGCCCTCCACCGCGAAGGCTCCCGAGGTCCCGCCCCCAAATCGACTAACCTGCCCTTAAAGGCCCATCCCTGCCCTCATCTGTTCATTTATCCAGCTGGTTCATTTTCACGATTTCTGGCGAGCACTCTCTACATTAGACCAGCAGGCCTATCTAGTACTTTAGTTCCAGCAGTCTGCATATTTGAAATGAAATTGTCCTAAGATGAGAGTCCTCTTTGGGTTTTATTTTTGTATTTTATTTTAAAATTTAAAAAGAGTATAGGCCCATGTACATGTTTTTACTACAGAAGGCTTTCTAGTACTTTTGGCTTTTTAAACTGAAGAAAAACTACAACTCAGAAGTTTGGGGGTTTTATTGATATTCAATTTACATAACAGGCTTAAATACAATTAATTGAATTCTGCATACATACATATTTAGTTGTAATTTATAATGCAACTTTGGTAATTTTCTTTGAGGTATGTTATGAAGTACAAGTTTTAAAGAAACATCACAAAAATATTCAGCTTGTCACTGATCATTTTTGTGAATTTAACAGAAAACAAGGTTTCAAGTTTATAATCCAGTCACTCTTGCTCAGAGCCAGACACTTCATAAATCCTTATCAAAAAACCCCCAGGTCGGTACACTGGTACCCCGAGGTAGGTTAGCTGGGATTCACCCAGAGAAACTTATTTTCCCTCTAATGGAGTCAGTACTTTCATTCGCTATAGACATCTCAAAAATAACTGCCAAACCCATGTGGCGGTGGTGACTATGGGGAAAAAAAGAAACATTTAAATAAAGGCAATAGTTGTTCAAATAAGAATACAGACAAATTATTCTGCACTGTCCTTCTTGTTCCAGAGGTCACTTGTATCGAGATATATCCACCTAAAAACTTTTTATGAAAGAGCCAAAGCTTGTGTGAGCCATACAACTTCAGTCAGTGCACTTGTAACTGGGAGATAGGGCCCCAAAAGTTTTTTATTCAAGAGCTAAAGTTGGTGTCTGCCTTATAACTTACTGACTAAAACAAGCTGCACACACGCATTAACAAAGGAAGCCATACGTGGCTACTGAAAACTAATCCACAAGTTATTTTCAACCAGATGGCTCACTTGCACCATGAAAGAATGCTAAGGTGAAGCCAAGCTCAGTTCAAGTATTCATTTGATCTGTCACTAAATGCCCAAGTTTTAACGGCTTCTGATTTTTAAAACTCAGAGCATGGTTCTTCATTTTGAGTACCAGTATCCTACATGCATCCTTTTCCGAAATTGACTCTTCTGACATTTGACATATGAAGAGGCAAGATGATCTCACCTCTGACAGGTACCTGAAGAAACCACTGTTTCCTTCAGAGATACAACACGGCTGAAGAAACTTTCAGATCATCATCAACAACATACAGATTCAAAAGGTTTGTCTATTGAATTTACATGCTAAATAAATGAAGACATTGTAATATTTACAGTACAAAAACCTAGAAATGTTATAATATATGCCTGAAAACTGATCCTTCAAAATTAGTAGTGCTTTAGAGGTTTCCCCTTATATGGTCTTCTTTAGCCTCTAGAATGTGTCTCAACTGTGAGAGCAGCCTATTGGACACACCCTGTTCTCTGCTAACAGATAAACTTAAAGCATCATACTTCTAACCTCACTGAAAAATGAAGTCATACTACTCAGAGTGTCTCGCTTTCTTTTTTTATCACAGAAATTCAAATCCACAATATATTTCATGCTTCACTGGAGAAATTCACAGCTTAGAATTATGTATAGAAGTATACATATATACATGTATAAGGCCATCAGAGACTAATTATCAAATAAATGTTATTAAAGGGAATATTCATAATATAAGTACCAATAATGAGAAAATATGGAAATGTTCCTCTGAAAATTAAAATCCTTCATCCTCTGGTTTTCTTCACAATGTTTTCTTTTAGTTCCACGCATCTCTCAATTTCAGTCCTTAACATCGCTAGCTTCCGACAGCCAGGCCCGTCTTGTTCTTATTTAGTAGATCAAAGGTTCTCTGAAGCATAATGAGTGAGCTCTTCAACTGCAAACAAAATTAATTTTCAAAATCAGACTGTTTAAATCTTTCTGACTATTTTTTATGCCAAAAGGTTACATTCACGTTTAATGTAATTTTGTTTATATTAATGTCCAAATAAAAGACTGAATATAAAACACCTGGGGGCCAGCCCCGTGGCCGAGAGGTTAAGTTCGCGCCCTCTGATTCAGCGGCCCAGGGTTTCGTCAGTTCAGATCTTGGGCACGGACATGGCACCACTCATGAGCCCATGTTGAGGCGGCATCCCACATGCCACAACTAGAAGGACACACAACTAAAATATACAACTATGTGCTGGGGGTATTTGGGGAGAAAAAACAGTTTAGAAAAAGTCTTTAACAATATATATAATAAAATAAATAAATAAATAAATAAAACACCTGATTCCTTAGGGTCTGTCGGCGTGCCTGCTCACAGGTCTTGCCAGTTACCGTAGTGTTGCACTTCTGCCTACAGCATACTGCTGCGTATGTTACCTCCATTAATCAGATTATCCAGTGTGAAAGGCGTGTTTCTTAAACCCTTTCTAAAGTTGCAGTGGTCTCCTCCTGAACTACTCAAGTTCCACTTCCAGCCGCTGCTTGCTATTACGCTCACGTTTGTCTGCACGGTCTGACACCCATCCCCATTGTCTCCAGGCACTTTTCCCTAATCATCCTGCCTCTCAACTCCCAAAGCTTCACTACTTACTTTGACACTTAAGTGTTATACATGGACATCTGATTTCTCTAATAAATTGTAAGCAACTTGAGAGCAAGAATTATGTCTTATTCTTTTTTGTATTCATTCATTCAACAAATATTTATTGCTTATCCATTCCATGCTGGGCAGTGTGCTAAGCACTAGGTATCCAATGGTGAACACAACAGGCACTGTCCCTGCCTCCGTGGAGCTTACAGAGCAGTGAGGGATACAGAACTCAGACGGATGCCCACATGCATAAACGTACACTTACACACTGTATTGTTTTTGACCTGAGCAACTGGACAATGGTAGTATCATTTTCTGAAATAAGGTCAACTAGGGGAGCATTAGGTTTGGCTTGGGGCGAAAACTGAATTCTGTTTTGGACATGATCAGTTGGGATGGCTATTGGCATCCAGGTGAGAGAGATGGACTGGGGAGTCCTTGGCACATGTGGTATTCCAAGTGAGGGAGGGGATGAGCTCGCCTAAAGGGGAAGTAGAGACTGGAAGAGAATCTAACAGGGAGCCCAGAGCATTGGCAGAAGAGGTCAGGTAGAGGGGATGGTTTTAACGAGCAGAAAGTAGTTTTACATTATGCTAAATGAAAAAAGCCAGTCACAAAAGACCATAGTATGAGTCCATTTATGGGAAATGTCCAGAACAGGGCAAACCCATAGAAACAGAAAGTAGATCAGTGATTGCCAAGAGCTGAGAGACTGAGGGGTGGGGAGTGACTGCTAATGGGTATGAGGTTTCTTTTGGGGATGATAAAAATGCTCTTGAATTAGATAGTGGTGATGCTTGCACAACCTTGTGAATAGACTAAAAATTATTTAAAAGGGTGAATTTGATAGTATGTTCACAATTATATCACAATAAAGCTGGGGTTTTTTCATGGTTTTAAAGAAGGCAAGATCAGATACATTTCAAGAAAGGAGTGGTCAGCTCTGTCAAATGCTGACGCTGTAAGATAAAGAAAGGTACATTAATTTTAAAAGCCAGAGGTCACTGGGGACCTTAGCTCGAGCAATATCAATGGAAATATGGGGGAAGGAAACAACGCAGGAGTGAGCTGAAGAGTGAGTGAGTGGATTGAATACGGGCATCCAATTTTTCTCCCTCCTGAAACCCCACTAAAAGCACAGTTAAAGGTTTTTTGTTTCTTTTTTTTTTGCTGAGGGAGATTCACCCTGAGCTAACATCTGTTGCCAATCTTTCTGTTTTCGCTTGAGGAAGATTTGCCCTGAGCTAACATCTGCCCCAATCTTCCTCTACTTTGGATGTGGGTCACCACTGCAGCAGGGCCAACTAGTGATATAGGGCCACGCCCAGGAACGAAACACGGGCCACCGAAGTGGAGCACTGAACTTAACCACTGGGCCACGGGGCCGGCCTCAGGGGATTTTTTTAAGGCATACATCCACAAGGGTGGTGAGAACAGAAAAGGCGACAACAGCAACACAACTTTGGAAACTCAAAAGCAGAGGGATTACTTAACAGGCCTGAAAAAGCTGAATCCTGAGCTTACAATAAAGAAAGCTGAGAACCAACCAAATTTACCCTGAGGAATCCCCAAGAGCCTCAGGAAGTGATGGGCAGGAATCTCTGGAAGTGGGACTGAAAAGGAAGGGGCTAAAATATAAGAAGGATAGGCTGAAACTTTGGGCATCTACCCTCTCCTACTACCTGGGCAGAAGTCTAGAATTTTACTTTCTGGAGAGGACAAAACAGAGGGTCTCTGGCTATCCGGCTAGGGGGACACCAAGATATCAGTAAAGACAGTGGGACTATACCAAAAACGGGGACTGTACGAAAAAGCATATACTAAATATTGAGACCATCCCCTCTTGCCCTTCCCTCGGCTCCATCCTGCCTCTTTCACTCAGCTCCTAAAATGCTGGCACCCAGCCCTTAATCCTTCAGGTAGAAGACTGGGAGAGTCTTCTCTGTGGAAACTGACCAATCCAGAGCAAAGACCTAAAGATACTGACAGCAAGATTTCCCAACCAACAGCCCAGTCAGATCTACAGAGAAGTTCAGGGTAGACCAGCCCGACCCACATATTAAGAGCTTCTGAGCCAAACAGCAGACAACCAAGGACTTCAGATATCTAAAGAAATCCTCTAACCTTAAGGATAGAAATCAAGACAGGGAGAAAAGGATCTTGATGGAAAATGAGTATGCAAGAAGAAGGAAAAAAAATTTTTTTAATTATCAGTAATATGGTCAGAGAGATAAAGATATTATAGTCATTTAAGAAGATCATATTGTTATAAAAAATTTCAGAGAAATAATAGCTGTTTGAAATTAAAAACTTGTTAGCAAAAATTGAAAAGCTCAATAGAAGAATTTGAAGATTGAGTTGAAGAAATCTCTGAGGCAGCAGAACAGAAAGGCAAAGAAAGGGAAACCGGAAAGAAAATGTAAGAAGATTAGACAACCTGTCAACAGAAAACTGAGATGTGAACCACAGGAGCTGCAGGAGGCCAGGAGAGAGTGGAGGGGAGAAAACCGTCAGCCATGTAACTCATGACTTCCAGAACTAAAAGGCGTGAGTTTCCAGATTAAAGGGTTAGGAATAGTAACACCCTCAGAATTCTCAGGACTAACACTGGAAGGCAAAAGACAATGGAGCAATGCCTTAAGTGTTCGGAAGGAACGCTATTTCCAAGCTGGAATTCTATCCCCAGCCAAACTACTAATCAAGGGGAAGGATAGAATAAAACATTTTCAGACAGATGAAGTCCTAAAATATTTAGCTCCAGGAAGCTACTAGAAGATATGCTCCATTAAAAGGAGGGAGTAAACCAAGAAAGCAGAAAACACGGGCTAAAGGAAACCGAGGAGATGGGCACAGGAATCCCCAGGACCACAGCTGTGCACCCACACAGAGGGCCACCCGACCTGACAGGAGCCCGTCCGAGGCTCCGCTGAGAGAATTCCTGAGGAGAATGAGGATTGTGAGAGGAGATTTATGCAGCAGACAGAGCTTTGAGGATGAAACACTTACAAATAATACGACAATCTAATCAACTGTAAGAAGAAGACAATTTCAGGGATAAGGAAAAGCACAGAAAAGAGAAAGCAGTCACGGTTTATTCTATGTGTCAGCTCAGAAGGGCAAACTCAGTCAGAGCAAAGCAAACACTGAATACTGATCTAACCAAAACTATAACCTCCTTGGGAGAATGGAGGAATTCGAAATGGACGCAAGAAGAGGCGAAAGAAAGGAAAACCAAAGGCTTGTCTTCTCTAGTAGGAAGTCAAAAGAAAATGTCTAAAACTGAAAAATCAAGAAGTGGAAATACATGCTTGTTGTTTATAAATATGGAGGTAAATACCAGAAGAATAAAGTAAAAGAGTTAAAGATTGTCGTCTTTGGGGAAAAAATGGAGAAGAGGGTGCTGAGATTGCTACTTTTCTGAACAAACCTTGTAGAACAAGTTAACTCTTTACGTGAACGAGTGATTTTGGTGAAAATAAAACCTTAAAAAAGTGAATAGGTTATGAAGGGTAAAGTAGTGTGACAGCCAGAGAAGGCAATTCTGAAAGAGGCTGACTGTGGAAGGGAGTGGAGAGAGAGGAATGGATAGAGAAGGATGTGGATGATGTGGGCTTTGCAATGTCGGAGACAGCAGAGCAGAGTGAGGTGCTGATGGCAGACATCCAGTTCAGTGAGGGAGACTGAAAATGGGGCAGCTCGAGGGGTGATGGATGGAATCTCCGCTAACATGTGCAGGGGCCGCTTCCCACAGGCAGAGGGATGCTCTTACGGGCGTGGAGAAGAGGACGGTGAGGAGCGATAGGAAGGCTTGGAGATCTGGTTATAGAAGGAGAGAGAAAGTCTCTTTTCTCCTTGAAGCACAGTCATCCGTCGAGAGTGAGGGGGAAATGGGAGGAGAGGACAAGGAGAAACCTGAGAATATGAGAGACTCCTTGCTGAGAGTCTGAGAAGAAAGCTACTAAGAAACTGTAGAAACTGTGCATCTGACGACAGCTGAGTTGAAGCTGTAACTTTCAGTGCCTCACATGATATCCTAAGAAATGCTCAACAATTGAATCTTCTAAAAAACAAACCAATGCATAGAAGAAAAGGATGGAAGGAAATAAAATATTAACAGTAATTATGTCTGAACGCTACAACTATAGATTTTCTTCTCTTCTACTATTCTCTATTTTTCAATTTTGAAAAGTAAGCTTGTATTATAATGGAAATACTACTCTTTATTTTTCAAAAAGAGTCTTAAGTTTTGGCTCATGGAACTGAGCAGCACATACTGATGATACTATGTCCAAGAGATGTTTATAGCAAAACTTCAGAATAACCTAAAAGTTCATTCTTCACTGGAGAACTGGTAGAATAATTATGGCACATTTATACAGCTGAATTCTTTGCAGCTGTTAAAAGAAAAGGAAGTGCTTTATATGCTGATATGGAAGTATCTCCAAGATACATGGTTAATAGATAAAAACAAAATAACTGTGTACACAGTGTCTACCATTTCTATAAAAAGTTAATATTACGCATAAAATTTTATATAGAAAGATCAATAAAAAGAATGAGGTAGATATATACATGCTGATATGGAAACATCTTCAAAATATATTACTAATAAAAAAAGAGAGTATACAATGGTGTGTATAGTATGCTCCCATTTTGTAAAAAACCACAAAAAAATACGAGTGACTATATACATAATATGCATAATGCAGAAACTGGCAGACAGTTGCCTCTAGGAGGGGGATTTCTTCAAATAAAGGTAGAGGAAATATTCTCTTACACCCAGAGGAGCACCTGACCCGCACTGGTCTGAGAGTTCTCCATACTGTGGTGCAGACAGCTGCCTACCTGTTCGAGCATCAGGATGGAGTCTCGGAGCACTCCTTTTAAACGGTGTGTCTGATCTTTGTTCTTCTGAATATTTTCTGCCCTTGACGTCATATCAGAGGCTAAACTGAAAGAAAAATGCCATCTTAAAAATCAGGGGAATAGCTTCTAATCTTTAATTTATAGAAATCATCAGCACCTCATAAATTTGCAAACAAAACAAAAAATTAGACAAACAAAAAAAAGTTTATGACTAAAGAATAGTTAGCAGACCCAAGTCTCTAAAACTGGAATTAAATTTTCTGCAACTAAAGAATTACTGAAATAATAACAGATTCGGGGGCAGGGGGGACTTACTTTAAAGATTTCTCTTCTTGCAGGTGGAGACGGTAAAAGGACTGAGCAGCATATTCGATCTTTGACAGCTTCAGAAGCAGAGTCACATTCAACAAAACTAGCAAGAGCAAACTAGGCAGAGCAAATCAGACCTGGTTAGTCCCCTCTGATCCAGACCCGGAGCACTGCTAGTGCAGAAGACACACGCAAAGCTGCAAAAATGTGTATTATCTGGACTAGTTTCCAATCATTGCTAATATTTAAATCAATTATCCCTACTTTTTTTGTATGAAATAATTACTTTAAGTATTAAGTGAATGTTTAAGAAAAAGTTGGAAGGTAACTAGAGTGACAATAAGCAGGTTGGGATTGTCCCTGACATCTCTCCTTTCCGCTAGGAATCCCAGTCAGTGCTGACGTGCGACCACTAGCTTACAAATCTACCAGGTAAGCTTTCAAGATCTATTTGTGGGTGCTTTTGGCTTAAGCAGTTATACACTCATAATGCTGCACTTCAAACAGGAAATTAAGATCAATATGGACGTGATCTTAGGTAGACCACGATGTACCTCCTATTCCCAGTGGAAGCCAAAACAAATTTAAAAAATTACCATTCAGTGAAAATTTCTAGTTCAGCTTAGACAAAAGAAGTATCAAATCCCAAATGTCCATTATTGGTGTCATATATAAACTGTTAGCTGCTAAATGAACTTACGCCATTAGTTCTCACAGCAGCCTTTCAACTGACTGGATATATTTCTTTTACACGTATATGCAAATATATATAGGTGGCATCATAGCTCTCATTTTTTCCATTAAAATATTGACTTGCCCTTAAAAATATATAGTATTCACTTTTACCCATCCAGAAGAGGATTTTTTAAAAAATAAAAGTAGTAGCAAGAAAATCAAATCTATGAAATTATTGTGGCACTGAAATAGTATATAGATCAACAATTCAATATCTGACCATAAATATTCTACAAAATAATGCAGAAGATCACTGATAATATTTACTATTCAAAATCGTCATAGCAAACTGATTTAAGCAGAATATGAAAACCTTTTACAAAAGGCACAACAAACATTTTCTATGTTCTGAAATGTATAATTAGAAAAAACAGGTGATGGAAGAATTTCATTCCAAAAAATATTCACCCAGCGTGTCTCACCCAGTTAGAACCAATTCATTTAAATCTAATGGACTACCGAAGATTCGAAATGAGCCCTGTAGACAACGGTCGAAATGTGACTAGCTCAGTAGATTCCTATAGATCATTCTGAGATTCAGACTAATTGCCCCAGTATTTCTCACCATGTGAGTGAGTGTTTTAAAATACTGATTCCCCAGCCCTACTCAAGACCTATTGACTCAGTCTCCGGGTCTGGGGCTGAGAAAGCTGCATTTTAGCAAGTGAGTCTTAGAAACAATAAAGGGTAAGGACCACTGTTCTCATCAAATAGCACTACTGGGATTTCACCAGCCTGCATATATAAAATTCCCTTTAAGTTTATGGAACTTCCCATAAAAACCTATGATGGTAGAAATAAAACACATTAGTTTAAAAAATGAAAACATTTATGAATGTGTACTTGGTATTCCCTTAAATTTAATAATTCTTCTGAAAATCATACATCAAAACTATTAGACTGCAGGATATAAAATTACTGCTTTTGTAGGCCAAACTTGGTCAAATAGTGGCAATTTCCAACAATAATGTACAAATGCATTCAAATCCTTTTGGAAACTCTTAGAAGATGAGACACAAGCACAATAAGCATTCAAAACAACTACTTACAAAATACTCATCACCACAATAAGGGCCGTGTTACAGCTTTCCATGAGCTTCTTCTTTCCTGCAGATCACACACACAAGGCTGCATTAGAATCAGGATTGTGATTACAACTGGTAAAAGTGAATTTCATTTGAAAGAAGTGAAAAAAGAAATTTTAAAAATTATTTGTAAAGATAAAGTGATTTAGGGTGAATTCCCCACATCCCTGTTTTCATGTCTGATGTCCTGAGTAATATAAAACAAATCTTCAAAATGAAAACCCTCATCAGTCCTGCAAATTTGGGGTATATTACAAATTAATTTACTCTAAAATTAAATAAGCAATTCAATACATCATGTACAATCTCTAAGTAAGTTCCATCTCAGCAATAATATTTGAGCTAGGTTCATGTACAATGCTTCCCTCCTTAAAAAAAAGTTTTCTTAATCATTCTCACCTGTTCTCTGTTGCCCAAACGCTTACATTCCAAAATTAAAGAGCCATTAAGTGGTAGATATCTAACACTTATTTCACACTTATTCACACTAAGATATAAGACTAAGAAGAGGATTTGATAGTGTAGAAGGATGAGAAGGAATGACAGCTTTAGAGCTGAGAGGGAGGCAGTAACAGTTAGTAGAGGCAAGATGTCTTCAAAATTGAGAGTGGGGATAATGAACGTCAAATTCCACCTCAGCAGTTTTGCTGGGCTGGCCCTGACAGTACATAAAGATTAAAAGCATATAATTATTGTAGTACATTCAAGGGTACAAATCAAATATCTGTAAATGCTGGGCGGGAAATTAATGAGTGAAGCATCCAGCAGCTGGGATCAGTGGTGGGGACTGGTGACCAGGGGAGCACAAATGCCGTCTAATGGGACAGCTGCCACTAAGCTCCAACCAACTGTTGCTATGAAGGGATTTGGGTCCAGGGCTATCAGAGCTGATTTTTATATAAAAATGTCCAATTTTTAAAATACCATGTGGGCCCAATAAAATACTTCTATTGGCCATATGCCCACCATTTTGCAACTGCTCCTTTTTACTTATATATTAGTTATCTTTATAGAATTCAGTGTTTGATAAACCTTATCAGAAAAGGCAAGGAGAAAGGGAGACCTCTTAACTGAAGTGTCTTATAAACAAGAGGCATATTCTGCTTCACATAAATAAACTAACATCTTTCATCCCCGTGTACCAGCAGGTAACAGCTACCTGTAACGTGCCCTTTGGCATCTAGGCCCACGTCTCCAGAAGAACGCAGAGAGGAAAGCTTAGGCACCGTTTCTGCTGTTCGGTTGAAGGTTCGCCTTCTCCTTCGTACCCCACTAAGTTTTCCAGGGTCTTCAATGGACTGATTTAACACAGATTCTTCCATTAACAAATCTGATTCTAAGAAGAAAAAAGAACTCTTTAGATAGTGGAGAAAGCTTCTCAACTATAAGATACACAAGGTGTGGTTGCTGTTTTGTTCTCAGTTTGGTTTTTTAAGCCTTGGTAAGTTTCTTTAACTATTACTTAGGTTCTTATGGCCTAGATTCAAACCTTACTCTTAATGAAAAGTTTTGGAGAGTACAGTGATCCCATAATGAGACTTCGTTATTCTAGGAGAAATGAACTGTATTAATAAATGATGGGATCATCAGAGCAAATTTGCCATGTGCTCTATTAAATATTAATGTAACGAGTTCAGTTATGGAAACAACAGGCTACCCACTTACATTGGATCATTAGAAAGATTTCCAAGATAGATAATGGTATGTGATTGTCAATCTCAAAGAAAGGCGTAGCATATAATAGTTCTAATTTACAATGAGGGTTTGCAAAAAAGGAAGCACTAGAAAAGAAAATTTGCAAACAACCTAAAAACCTCATTTTTGTCATTTGTTTCAACCTTTTCCTTCACCATATTTTTTTATTAGAAGTCCTTTATCCAGTGGCCAAACTAATTTTTGAGTTTCATTTTCTTTGCTCCTGATAAAGAGCTTAATAATAAAAGTCAGACAGAAAAGCAAGGAAAATAAATAACCAAAAAACGAGACAATGAAGCCTTAAATTACCTGAGCTGACTACCAGATTTTCTTTAACTAAAATTAATTGTGCTCATGTATGTGTATTTTTTCCCTCATGTGTATTTTAAGGAATATCCAAATAGAACAACTGTATCACTTCCCTCAGTCTAAATCCATACATGCACATGATCCATTGCTAAGTGGGCCTGCACAGACCCAGGGAAGCTGTGCTGGTGAGGGAGGGATGGGCCTGAGGACTCCGCAGACCTTAGAGAGCACAAGGGCATATTTACAATCAAGTTATGCAGCCTCTCAGTACAGCCAGCCTCTTTGGCTCCTCAAAGAGGCAGGGAGTGTGACAGCTCCTAACAGTGTGATCTCGGACAAGTCACTTAACCTCTCTCTCTGTTTCAATATTTCTTTTTTAGTAAAATGGCTAAAAATAATAGTACCTACCTCACAGGGTTATAATGAGTTGATATTTACAAAGCACATAGAACAATGTCTGGCATGTAATAAGCATTAGATAAGTGTTTGTTGAACCAATGAAAATTTAAAGTTTTGAAATTCCAAGTGGGGTAGTTGGAACCACTTCAGTGGGAGTCATTCCAACATCATCTACCGGTTCCTGCTATGAATCCAAATGAAGAATCAATCCATTTCGTTAATAAATGCTGTCTTTACAAAAATAGATAAACCAAGAAATTTACAAACCAAGCTGTTTGAAATAGTCTTCCAATGAACTCCAGGAATTCTTCTCAATTAAAGATTTGACAATGGCCCATGGTTGTTTCCTGTATTTTAAATCTGTGGAAACTCTAATAAGATAAGGAGGAAAAGAAGAATATCTATTTAAAGGGCAGAATTTAGTTATTTTAACATTATAATTACACGTAAGATTGAATTCCGTGAAAAGCCAAAAGGATTCAAAGTCATTAAGATTATAAAAGAAAACTTGTTCGCTGATAAAGACTGATAAAGACACGACTGTGTGCTGTTAATAATTCCATCAAATTTCCCTTCTAAGTACTCGGCATTTTATTTCTTTCCTTTCTCTGGCCCTGAATTTTCTTTACCTAAATAGCAATAAAGGTTCAAATTAAATTCTAAATGTTCTAAATGCCTTCTATAAAAAATCTCAAGTGGTCATTAGTTGAAAGTAACTACATTAGCTAAGACTAGGCCAAGCATATAATGGCCCCCCACTATCTTTAATGCACTCACACTTCTTATTTCCCACTGCAGCAGAGTCCTTTACTGCCCACCACGTGCTCCTCAAGAACTCCCAGCCCCCTTGCCATTAAACTAGGTCGTGTGCCCAGTTCTGGCCACTGGACTGTGAGCACAGTTCTACAGCTCTCTTTCTGTACAAACTGAAACGACACGTATTCTGGATTGTGCAGCTCCAGGATGACAAAGCTGCCATCACTTTGGGATGGCACTTTGGGATGGCATCACTTGAGTGATGGGCCCCACCTCCCTGCTGACCGCTGGTGGACATGTAATTTGAGCAAGAAATAAAGCTTTGTTGTGTAAAGCCACTGCTAAGATTTTAGGATTAATATGTTACCAGGGCATAATCTACCCTCCCTGACTAGAACGCGCCTTAACGACAGCTCACCTCAGCCGGCATTTCTGTTTCGAGGATCGGATGATATGGTATCTATTCAGGGTATAGAAGTAATCATGGTAGGGCACATCGTGTGTCAGTACTTCTGCATCTACCAAATAAAACCGTGCTTCCCGACTTTCTTTATATAGTGTCTGCCAAAATAAGATGAAAAAAGTTTTTGCAGATACATGTTGAATATATCAAATTCCTTGCCAATTTAGAACATATATACTAGAATTCCTCTTCACAAATTACAAAAGACATGAGAAGCCCATATACAAAGCCAGAAGGGCTTCCATATTTGCTGTGTTGTCTTTAAATTGAGGAGACGGGACCTGGAGAAATAGTATTTGCTGTCAATTCATTGTATAATTATATATTTTTTTCTTTAAGGCATGAAGAGGAGAAAGGAATCATATAATCTCTTGTGTGTATTACTAGTTTACAAAGAATGTCAAATGTTCCTGGTAGGGGGAAAAACTCAAAATTCAATGGAACCAAGCAAGGACCCCACCCCAAAATTCATCAAAGTTTAACAAATCCACCCTTCACCAAAAAAGAGAAGGAAGAGGACAACCAGACAGAAACAGCACTTTCCCTCAACAGGATTTGAAGTGGCCGAACCGTTCTCCTGTGAACCACACCTTTCCTACCTGTCCTCTGAGGTTATGAGACTCTCCAACACCAGAATGCCAAGCTTTTCTTAAATGTTTGAAAATCTTTTGAAAAAAAATTGTCTTTTTTAATACCGATGGACAAAAACTACACTAGCACAACTAGCTCAGATGTTGCTAGATATTTTCAAACTATTTGCAGAAAAGATACACTGAACTTCAACACAAACGGGCCTAACACAACTCCCACTATAAGACAACGCCACACGGGTCACAGAGTACAGCATTAGATATCTTGTAATCTCTTCTCCATATGTCACAGCAGCCATCTAGTTATTTGGCCCTAACTTTTCACACGATCCCATAAATCAGATTCCAGTAGTGTTCTTTTTTAAGCCATTTATTGTGGAAAAAGTTCAAATGTACAAGAAGAGTGAAAACGAAGTCGAACGAACACTTATAACTCATCAACCAGCTTCAACAACATTAACTCCTGCCCAGGCCTGTTTCATCTGTACCTTTCCCCACGTTCCCTCCCCCACCACCAGCCTCTGCCTGGCCAGACTACTCTCAAAGGATATCCCAGACATCAATACAATTTCATCCATAAACACATCAGTGTATCTCTTTGTAAATTCTTCAGTACGTCTCTTTAAAAGATAAAATTATTCTCTTTAAAATACAGCTACAATATCATTATTACATATAAAAAATTAACATTTCCTTAAATCTCATAACTACCTCTTTACAGTTGGTTTACAGTTGGTTTGTTTGAATTAGGACTGGGTTGATATGGTTGATTTGCCTCTTAAATCTCTTTTTAACCTGTAACAGTTTCTCCTCCCTTTTTTACTTGCCATGTGTTTGTTGACATTGTTTTGTAAATTGGTGACTGTAACAGGCATCTTCTCTCTTCCCACACGCATGATACTAACAGAGCAGACATACCTGCTTTTCGGTGGCAGTGGTGCATTTTCCAGTAAGTGGATTATTGAGGACTATTGTGTAAGTCATGGTTCTCAGCTGATCACCTCCAGGTTCTACATTCCAAGGGGTGGATACGACATCTAATCACAGCAAACATAAAATGAGTTAGTTGTAGAAATCTGAAGGGTATGACTTAAAATAGAGTCAAAGAGGTAGTTTTTTAATTATTTAAATTTTTATCTTTGACCTGTCCCAACTTCCTTAACATTGTGTGTTAGTTAACATTAAAGAAAAGGAAAATTAAATGTTAGGCACTCTTCTTATACGTGACAGATTCCCCAACTCTGACCCACTGACTTCTAAATTGTTGTCCATTAATACTTTTTCTTCTCTTTAGAACATAAAATTAAAAGTTGGTTCATCTGTAGGCTTCTTTTTAAAGTCCCCAGTACCTATGAAGAGAAGTAATGGTGCCAGCCTTATCAAACAGAGACAGAACAACACTTCAACACTCTCATCACTGAGGACAAAGCCTTGAAAGCCATTTGTCCTTACGCAACAACATGACCTTGACCCCAACTTGAGAAATCATGTCAATGAGAAATCATGTAATGTTAATGGCTTATCTGCCAAAATGTTTAATCACGGAAGGGGCAATACAATATAAATAACCATACAACCTTTTCTATATTAAGAAAGCTATATAGGGTAATCTCTCTGTATTTATAGCAAGTTCTTGGTCAGAATTCTCTTTCATTTGCTTAGCAATAACACAGTGAGTAGAAGCACACTTTGAACAGAAATATATCTTTAGAACACAGCACTATACAGTGAAGGTCATTTTACAAGCTAAAGACTAGGAAAGTATAGGTAACAGCATCATGAACTCTACTCAAAGATCTGACTAAATCACCTAATGCTCTTAGCACAAAGGGACTTAGGCAAGTGGTATGTCTGCCTGCTATTCATCAACATCCTAAAATGTAGAAGCCTTTACCTCACCCATTACCCAACATCAAAGGAATGCAGCAAGGCTTTATGCTATATCCAGTTTTACTCTCCTCCTTTCACACAGCCAGGCCCAGGGATTTAATGAGGGATCCTTAAGCTGCCTTTTGAGCATATGGGAAAATCTTACAGCTAAATTAAAAAGGCAACATCGCAAACTATGGAATCTATCCTGCAGAATTTGCTGTAAAATGATTTATTTAGGTGTACATCAAAGAAGATATAAAATTAATTCTAAAATACTTTTTAAAAGATTACTTTGGTCATACATCAGCCTGTTTCAGAAAAGTTATACAGATTTTCCTCGACAGCTGGATAAACCCCTGATAAGTTGAAAATGTAAGTCAAAAATGCATTTATCACATCTAACATCACAGCGTAACCCAGCTCACCTTAAACATGCTCAGAACACTTACATTAGCCTACAGTTGGGCAAAATCATCTGACACACAGCCTATTTTATAATAAGGTGTTGACTATCTCATGTAATTGACTGAATACTATCTTGAAAGTGGAAAACAAAATGGTTAGATGGGTAGAGAATGGTTGTACGTGCATCGGTTGTTTACCCTCGTGACCATGCGGCTGACTGGGAGCCAGGGCTCGCTGCCACTGCGCAGCACCACGAGAGAGCACCATACTGCATATCGTTAGCCCAGGAAAAGAGCAAAATTCAAAGTTTGAAGTACGGTTTCTACTGAATGCGTTTCTTTTTCGCACCATTGTAAAGTCGAAAAATCCTAAGTTAAACCATCATAAGTTGAGGGAGGACTGTCTGTACAAATAATTCATTGTTAATCAGCAACAAAATTGAAAGGTATCATTGAAGTCTGTTGTTAAAACTGCATACCATTCAACAAAGTACCTATCAACAAGGATAGAATGATCCATCTTCCACTTGTATTTTCACCAATCTTACCAAAAGGTTTACTGAATGTCATGTGCTACAACATCATGTAATTAACAATAGCTTGGAATAGTCAAGCCCCCAATACCTAAGTAAAGTTCATCATGATTCAAAAAACTTAGGATGAAATTATAGAAAAATGACAATAATATACAAAAAGACACATGAGCCATTCTAATATACTGAGTTGAAGTAATCAAAAGCAGGAACTGTAGAACCAATACTTTAAGAATCCCTTGCTGTAATAAAGTTTTAAAAGTGATGAATCTTCACACCCATTAGGATGGCTATTATCACAAAAAACTAGAAGATAACAAGTGTTGGCAAGGATGTGGAGAAACTGGAACCTTTGTGCATTGCCGGTGGGAATGTAAAAGGTATGACAGTATGGCAGTTCCTCAAAAAATTAAACACAGAATCACCTTGTGATCCAGCAATTCCACTTCTAGGTACACACCCGAAGGAACTGAAAGCAGGGATATCATCAGATGTTTGCAAGTCAGTGTTCACATCAGTGCATCGTTCACAATGACCAAAAAGTGGAAACAACTCAAAACTCCATCAATTATGAATAGATAAACAAAATGTGGTACCTACATACAACAGAATATTATTTAGCCTTAATAAGGCATGAAATTCTGATGCATGCTACGACATGCATAAACCTTGAAGACATTATGCTAAGTTAAACAACCCAGTCACAAAGGGACAAATATTCCATGATTCCACTTATATGAGGTACCTAGAGTAGCCAAATTCATAGAGACAGACAGTAGAATGGTGGTCGTCAGGAGCTGCAAGGAGCAGGAAATAGAGAGCTACTGTTTAATAGGTACAGAGTTTCGGTTTGGGAAGACAAAAAAATTCCAGAGATGGATGGTGGTGATAGTTGCATAACAATGTAAATGTACTTAATGCCACTGAATTCTATACTTAAAAATGGTTAAAATGGTAAATTTTTATGTTATGTACATTTTAACGAAATAAAAAAATTTTGTGAATCCTAGGTGATGGGTATGTGGGTTTTATTATACTACTCAGGCAAATTTTCTGAAGGTTTACATATTTTCAAAGTTAAAAAGTTGAATAAAATGACTTCAAACTGGGCTTTGAATTACAAAAGTGGTGTCATAAAGATGTAAACAAAGACTTAAAAGAATATCTATTTAAAAGCTCCCTAATTTAAAAGAAAATTAGAGGCCAGCCTGGTGGTACGTTGGTTAAGTGCATGCACTCTGCTTTGGTGACCCGGGGTTCATGGGTTTGGATCCCAGCTGCAGACTTATATACCGCTCATCAAGCCATGCTGTGGCAGTGTCCCACATACAAAAGAGAGGAAGATTGGCACAGAGGTTAGCTCAGCGACAATCTTCCTCACCAGGAAAAAAAAAAAAGATCCAGTAGTAACCATTTTAGAACTGAAATTAGATTAAATCCACAAATAATTGACTACACAAAAATTTTTCATTAAATTCTTTTTTTTTAAGATTTTTTTTATTTTTTCCTTTTTCTCCCCAAAGCTCCCCCTGGTACATAGTTGTATATTCTTCGTTGTGGGTCCTTCTACTTGTGGCATGTGGGACACTGCCTCAGCGTGGTTTGATGAGCAGTGCCATGTCCACGCCCAGGATTCGAACCAATGAAACACTGGGCCGCCTGCAGCAGAGCGCACGAACTTAATCACTCGGCCACAAGGCCAGCCCCTTTCATTAAATTCTTAATATTTTTAAAAAGAAGCCTTTGAAACCCATTCTCAAGAAATACAACTTTGATTACCAGGTAACAAATTCAGAAGATAGCAGAATGGTGTGTAATCATAGCAAATTATCTCTTTTGGGGAAAACCTTTTCCCTAATTCCAGGTCTAAACAGCAATATAACTATTTAGATTTAGCCAGAAGTCTTTGCTTCTCAAAGCCATTTAAAACAGAGAGCAAATGTATTCATCCATATTGAAGCCAGATATGATATCAGACACCAAATGCACTTGTGATTCAAAAAACAAACTTCTTTAGTACCAGCGTGGAATAACATGCTAGTTCCTTGTAGGTCTCTTCATCCATAAAAATGGCAGTGCGTAAAAATCAACAGGCGTCACCTTAGAAAATTAAGAGAAATAATGTATCCTACTCTTGTGAAAGATCAAGTTCTCCAGGTTGACGTGAATAGTAGAAAAAAACAGATTCGGAGGAGATAAGTTAAATATAAGCCACTGAGTGAAAAGGAAGATTTATATCCCTCAGATATCCCACATTTTTAAAACTAGTAGGGCAGAAAAAATAAATGATTTTTTAAAACTATGAAATTCTTTTTCTTTTTTTTTTGAGGAAGATTAGCCCTGAGCTAACTGCTGCCAATCCTTCTCTTTTTGCTGAGGAAGCCTGGCCCTGAACTAACACCTGTGCCCATCTTCCTCTACTTTCTATGTGGGACACCTACCACAGCATGGCGTGCCAAGTGGTGCCATGTCCGCACCCGGGATCCAAACCGGCGAACCCGGGGCCGCTGAAGTGGAACGTGCAAACTTAACAGCTGTGCCACCAGGCTGGCCCCTGAAATTCTTAATGTAATCAAAGACTCAATTAATAGATATTAATTAGAAATCACTCTTCTACTCTAATATGATAGTAAGAAAAAAATTATTTTTTGTATCTAGAATCCACATCAATGATATAACCTATGAATATGTAATTATGTTTACATAACACTTTTTAATAAAAGAATAACATCTAATGGTCAATATAATGGCTAGATTATAAACTGTATTTAAACTGTAGAATAATTTCTCTTTGACTACGTCCAATGACTCACCTCATGTGAATCTCTGCTGCTGCTGTTTTCTAACCTTATACAGAAAGCTAAACCACGTGCTCCCAAAGTTTATAAAGTATCTTGAAATATTTAGGATAAATTCCATTTCAAACTAACTATAAGCTTATTTGAGATGTTTACCAAAATAGAACTTTTAACACATAATCAGTGAAATCCTTTTTACGAGTCTAACTCATTTCCTAAATGGAACTTTTTGGTGTTTTCTCTGAGGGACACCACAGACACTGCAATCTCAAGCATATAGCTCCACAAATTTTCACAAAGAAAACACCCGTGTGCACGACTCCCCAGACCAAGACAGAGAACTTCGCCAGCATCCCAGAAGCCCCCCAGCCCTGAGCCACCCAACTCTCCACAGTGGGAACCACTATGCTGATTTTATGTCCATAAGTTAGTTGTGCCTGTTTTTTATTTAAATAAAGAAATCATAGTACATACTCTTCTGCATCAGGCTTCTTTTGCTTAACGTTATATTTGTGAGATTTACTCAATGGCTTGCAAAAAAAAAAAAAAGAAAAAAAGCAGCAGTTTGCTTTTTCCTTGCTGTATAGTATTCTTTGGTGTGCCCACACACAGTTTGTTCATCCATTCTACTACTGGTGGATGTTTGGGCTGTTCTGAGTTGGGGGCCATCATAAACAATGCTGCTATGAACACTGCAGTACGTGTCATTCAGAGTAAAAACGTCCCCATTTCTGAAGGATACAAGCCTAGTAGTAGAACTGATGAGTCACAGAGAATGCTTACGTTCAGCTTTAGTAGATTCTGGCAAACCATTTTGTAAAGTGATTGTACCAATTCACACTCTACGAGCATCCAGTTTTTCCACACTGGAACCCTTTTAAACGGGTTCAACCCAACTGAACTGCTACATTTATAAGTAAACAGAGTTCTAATTTTCAAATGGTCTGAACTTAATCATAGGTAGGATCTGACTAATTCAACAGTTGTACTCTTTACATGTGAATTTAACCTAGACACTTAAATACTAGTTTATATACCAGCGAGTAAAATCAAAGCCTGCCTAATTTTTCCCCCCAACAACAAAAATCAATTTATATAGGTTCAATCCTCTAAGGATAATAAAATTCTCCCAAACTTATCATTAGATAGGAACAAAGACCAACCTATTATATTTCTAGAATTGGCAAATCTCTGCATAAAGCGTGAACTGGTGAAGAGCAATTCAAACATTTTCTCAGCGCTGATATGAAACACACGGTTGATAAAAAGTCTTCCATGAAGATCTTTCTCAGTAATATTTTCTGGGGAAACAAAAAAAACACAAAACCAAAAGGGAAGAAACTAAGGGAAGGTCATTTCAAGGTTTTGTTCTGTTTACTTGTACTTGGCACGAAATGTTTTAAAGGTGATTACAATGATCAGCACATTCCAGGACACTATTAAAACTCTAAATTGGAATTATATACTTAAATACTATTATAATATACTTAAATACTATATGTATCCATATATATATCCAGAATATATAGTTAATCCATATATTTTAACTATATATTAACATATATAGTTAATCCAATATATACCCATAATATATAGTTAATTAAACTACATATGATCAATATTTCACTTATAATCCAAAAGATATAGAAATATTTAACTTGAATGATATCAGACTGCCATAATATATCACCCAAAAGAATATTTCAAAAGTGATAAGGGCAATACTGAGATGCATAGCGGGGTATCTGCCACAGCAATTAGCAGGTCCTATTTCCAAACGCTCCAACATTCAGTAAGGAAGTCATCAATGGCCCCACTCATGGCTGTACTCACTCCCTTGCGCCTGAACAACGTTTCAAACTTGACTTAAAGCTGACTCCTCCAAGACAAGTATCACTGTATTCACAACCTGTTCTCAAACTACACGTTTAAGAAATCCTTCTGAAAAGTATTCTTGAAAGCTAAATAATGCCCAATGGTATATTTCATTTTTCTGGGAACCTGATAATGATGATAACATTGAAAACTACTGGTAGCAAATGAAACAGCAATACCTGCTCACCTCTGCTCACTCTGCCTAGAAACATTACACAAAGTAGCCCACGCCTACACGGTGCTTACTCTAGGTGAGGCACTGTGCTTGTGCACCTTGCCAGTATTAACTCATCGTATCGTCACAGCAATCCCAGGAAGTAAGTGGTATTGTCATCAACATCTCCACTGTCTAGATGAGGAAACTGAGGCACGAGAGGATTGCCAAAGCTCCAGGCTTAGTGAGTGACTGAATCCGACTCTGAAATCACCGCAGCTCCAGAGCACACAGATTTTATCTCTGTTTTATGCTGCCAGGAGTTTAACTTAGAAGAATCAAAAAGAAAGTAGGGAAAAACAGCCAGGTAGGAATAGGAGCCTGGGAAAGTAAAGGAAATAGCATAAAGCAATCCAATATGAAATTTTAATGATTCTAGGACTGGGAGTATTTCAAGGATTATGCCCCATCAATTCAGAACGAAACTGTAACAGAAGCTCCCACATCTCGGGACTCAAGCTCTCAGCGTCATCTGTGTGGCGCGTCTGTCAACAGCAAGCCAGGGGAGGCGGTCTGGTAGAGCACGAGGCGGGGCCCAGAATGAGAGCCCTCTCCCAGCTCTGCCCTCACCCACCTGTGGCGTTCTCCTCATTCAATGACTTGTGTCTCTCTGTCGTCACAGGTGCAGAGAACTCAGGGATGTCAGGGAGATCCGGATTTACCTTCTCCCTGCCACAACACTCGACGCAGGCAAAGGCTACTAGCTGCAATTTCAAGTAATGGCTCCCTCAGCACAGAAATGAATCACTGAAAACGAGGCAGTTTGCTAAGGTTTTGTGAGGGAACTTCCCAATTAGCCTGAAGAAATAGCTTTTTTCTGACATAGAAGTAATATATGTTCGTTGTAAAAATAATTCATATATTCACAAAGAAAGCAAATGAGTACAGGTGATTCTACTGATCCTGTTCTCTTCCTTCACAGAACTTCTCTCGATTTGTAATTCTATCCGTATTGGCTTACTGACTGAGTTATTGTCTCTCTCCTGCACGTGAGTAGGGACCATGTTGATTTTAAACACCTGTGCACATTACGTGCTTGACACATAAAAAGCGTTAAATAACTACTTTTGAGTGAATAAGTGACTATTGAAAATGCTAAAAATATTTAGGGTCTATTTCTATATATGGACTTTGAATTTGCAACCATGATTTTTTTATATTTTGGAATAATTTTAGATGTACAATTAACTAAACTAGGCTTTATTCCTATTTTTTCCAGTAATGACCTTTTCTGTACAAGGATCCAACCCAAAATACCATGTTGCATTTAGTTGTTATACCTCCTGCAATCTAGGACAGTTCTCATTCTTTCCTTGTTCTTTAACGGTCTTACACACTTGAAAAGTACTGGTCAGGTATTTTATAGAATGTCCCTCAATTTGGGTTCATCTGAGGTTTTTTCATGATCAGACTAGGGTTATGGATATTGGGGAGACCACTACAAAGGTGAAGCAGTGTTCACACTCAGGGGCTCCACATATCAGCATGATTTAAGACGACGCTCACCTTGATCACTGGCTTAAGATGGTGTGTGGCAGGTTTCTTCACTGCAAAGTTTCTATTTTCCCCTTTCCATATTCTGTTTGTTAGAAATAAGCCACTAAGTTCATCCCATCCTTAAGGGGAGGAGAATTAAGCTCCACCTCCTGGAAGGGGGCGCATCTATACAGATTATTTGGAACTCTAAGGAAGACTTGTGCTTTCTCCCCCATTTATATGTTTACTTAATCATTTACATCAATGTGGACCCATGAATAGTTATTTTACACTTTAGGTTATAATCCAACACTATCCTTATTTATTTTGTTGCTCAAATTTTTTCATTTGGCCATTAGGAGCTCTTCTAGGTTGATCCTATGTCCTTCTGAATGCCTCTTTTTTTGGGGGGAACTTCTTTATTTTCTGGTACCGCAAGATGCTCCAGGCTCATTTTGTATACTCCCCACCGCAGCCCTTTCTCTAAGGAGCCCTGGAACTACAATTTTTCAAAAGTAAGTTTCTTGTTCACATTTAAGAAGGAAATAAGTTACACTCATATAGGTATTTCAATACAATATTTTCATATTTCATTTAAACTATTATTAGATAAATTGTTCTCTATTATGACTGATAAAAATAGAATTTGTCATATCACTACTGGAAATTAACAGTAACACCTTTTGTATGTAAATTTGTTCAAGAAAGTAAGGACATAAAAGAAACTATTTCCACCTGGGCTTATTTATTTATGAAACTCATGGTACTTTAAAACCCTCCTATCCAAGCAACATCACCAACAGTATTGCTGTAACATATCGAGCTGGCAGGTGTATTTTAAATGGGGAAAGGAACACTGCTCAACCTAGGGGCAGGTTACTAACTATTTTCAATAAAGAAGAAATACAATTTCAAACATATCAGTTTGAAAGTGTCTAGTGGAAATGGTGGGAAAAGTGAAACAAATAAGTATGAGAGGGACATGGACATGAATAAAACTGAAACCACATGTTGACAGTGTTTGAGGGTATATGAAAAATGACTAGGTAGGTATGCAAGAAAAGCAGGTGATTTGCAGTTTAATTGAGTAACTAAGGATACACTAAAAACTGGTGACTTGCTGTCACCTTGACTCAGATTGAGGGCTTTCTTTGTACCTGAAAACCTAAGTTCAACTTAAGAGCTGTTCAAACACCTGACTCAGGTTACTGTGTCAGGGTTACCTGGTTTAGTCTCGTGGCTGCTTCCCTGACATGCTAGACTATTTCCCAGCTTTTTCTCTGGCCTTCCCCAGAGGTCTGCTTGTCTTCACCTTTATTAATTAATAAGCATCACTGGAATTCTGACTCTAGTTTCTCTTTGCGCGGCTCTGCCTCTAATTCATCATGTTCTCTGAGCCCTAGACCACAGACTCCAATTTTGCCATTCTTTTGTGCCCCTCCTCCAGCCTAGTCTTGACTTGGCTTCCATTCTCAGCATAGTGACCGTGGTGAGGGCACCCTGTCACATCAAGTTCCAACCCCAGCTATACAAAACTAAATTTAACCTCTGTCATCATGACACAGCCCAGGTGTCTCATGCCAACAGCCAGTTTGTCAGCTTCCAGTCAAGGCTCTACTTCCTGGGGCAGATGTTTTACAGACTATCTACTACATGAGAGCAGGGCAGGTGGAAGAAGTAAATCCTGACAGCAACAGAAACATTCTCTCTTTGAAAATACGGCCATAATTTCCTTGTACTTATGGATGTGGCTACATTGGGTCAACTCATCTTCATTTGCCAGGAAACTCCCAGCATCTTTTCAGATGCTCTGAACTCCTCCCCAAACCAGGAATGTTGTTAATAAGCTGAGAAAGTCTACCAGCAACAACCCTCTAGATAAACAAAGTTCTGTAGCTTATTCTGTGAATTATTCTATGCCAAAGTTTTAAGTTAAGAATGTGGTTTAACAGATTAAAACACAACGCTTAGCATTTTGTTCAGCAGTTGGAAGCCCAGAGCCCATTTCTGGAAGTACAGAAATATCCCTAAAAAGGGCATCCTTCAATCTTGGTGGGTTCTAACCTGCCTAGCGTAGAGTTAGAACATTAAAAAAGAAGCCAGTCAAAGCAGATTCTAGGCTAACTTTCCCTCTCCGGGCTCCAGTTAAACTCCACATCAAAGGGACTGCCCTACAAGTGATTTCGGGTCCCTCCGTGAGAATTTCGTGACGCTCCGCTTTGTGGACTCCTCTCAGGGATACGTGGGTCTAGAGGGAGTCTCTACAACAAAAGACTGCACAGCTCCCTCCCAAAGGTCACAGTCTGCAGGAGGCAGAAAAGAGAAAAGAAATCCTCTCATTTTCTCACTCAGCCTGCTCACAATGGTAGATCAAAATACTATCACTTTAAATAAAATGTTTGATTTAAAATAATCTGCCATGTGCCTAGCTCCATCTAAATCTACACACACGTTTCCAAATTTCCGGGAGGGTTTACTTCTTTTGAGTTTTCCCATTGTCTGCCCAGTCCACTGACTTCAAGCGTCTTTATAACCTCACAACTTTCAGAAAATAAAAAACAGACTCACTATAATACCAATTTAATGCAGATGATAAACCCCAGATTTTGGAACCTGCTTAGGGGAAAGTGATAGGAGTACTTGATTTGTTATCTAACGATAATCTAATAAGAAAAAAGCATCATCCCAAACACCTTAAAGAAAACCTCCGGAAACAGAAGCCTGAATGTTATGTGGAAGGTCTCACTGCTGTAAAGCCGAGTGGTCTTCCAAGGGGCGCCAGCAAGGAGTAAAAGGTGACCAGGACTCACATGCAACACAGAAACCACACCCACAGCTTGTCTGAGTTTTAATGTTATCCTTTATGCATCTTATCATTAATGTTAATTTTATAGGACTCAATACGGAAACTACTTTTTAAGGACCATTCTTATAAAAGAGCACATGAAAAAGAGGGGAAAAAATCCTTGATTTGGCATCACTTACCTCTCTGGGCACTGGCTGCCAGGGCAGATCTTCCTAAAGTCAGGGTTCAGCCCGGCGGGGGCAACTAATCCACGCTGGCCACATGCCCAAGCAGGAAAGGGAAGGACACTAAAGAGTCCAGTCATTCATGGGGCTCGACCCCTTTAAAAAGCTTCTTCTCAACCATCTTTTCAGAAGAACTCAACAACTGTCTTCTTAATGCATTCCATGATTTTTAGCAACCAGTGGATTTTTATGTATTTATGTTTTTAAGAGCGTGGATTTAGTTTTCATTAAAGATACTTCAATGCTCCCAAACCAAAGTCTAATCTGCTTTGGATTTGGTTTGGGTTTGACTTGCATTTAGTTCTGGTTTTCATGGATTTGGTTTTCACTATAGTAAAAGACTTCAGGGGTTCCCAAACCAGGCCTAATCTGAACAGTAACCAGACTAGCAAACACAATCATGTGCTACAGATCCAAACCACCGTCCCTATCACTAATATTCTGAGCACTGCTGGGAGGAAGGCCGGTATAGCAAAAATCCACTGGCATTGTTCCCTTTCCTGAAATGTGAAAGTAGTCACTACCCTGGATCTTTCCCAATGTCTCCCCACTTCAGTGACTCCAATGTCAATCATCTTACAGGTAAAAAAAGATTCCTTAAAATGCCCACTTAATGAGTATGACAAGCCCCAGGTTATTGGCACTAATTTAGGGAAATTAGAGAGAACGTGATTTGCTATAAAGTTTCCTTTAAGCAACTGCATTTTATTTTTATTATATTCTCTACTTTTGCATCTCTCTCTCTCTCTCTCTCTGTTTTTCCTTTGTTGGTTAAAAGAAAGTAGTACAATTATAGTGTATATAACATTATGCAGATTTTCATTAAGATTTGCTTTTGCATTGCTACTGCTGCGTCTCCACTGACTTAAGGCTTTGAATTTTAAAAGCTAAATGTCATCGAAATTTTCAAATCCCAGGCTTCTGAAGAGTGGAGACGGGTTAGATCTAACAGCCTCTTTCCTCTATTTTCTACTAACTTCCATCCTTTTTTTTTGGTTCTTTATAGAGTGAGATTGTAACTAACGCAACTAAATTCTCAATCTGCACACATTTAATACGAAGATAAACATAAAAAACATAACCGAAATTTTATTAAAATTTATAACAAATTCTTTACCTTCATCAACAGAATCTGAAGTGCTGCTTTTGTCCAGAGAAAGATACTCATTTTTATTCAGGTCCAGTGACTTCGATGCCACTCTGCTTAACCTCTTCTCGGAAGTTAGTGAGGGACTCTTTTTGATCTGCTTCTCACTTTGGAGTTCCTCTCTCCCTAACCCCTAAAAGGCAAACAATCCAGTTTAAAAAACCGAGTATAGGCTAAGATTTTATAGTGAGATCTTTAATAATAAAGACGCTTTGAAATACTGCTCTTTGAAAAATTTGTTATGTTTGCATCACCTTTCCAATTCAGTCCATAAAATATTGGTAAATAATATATACCATTCTATACAGTAGTGAATAATAAATTTATGAAGAACATCATATAAAAAGAACTCACAGACAGTTAAGACCATGTGAATCACTTAAGCAGAAGGGAAAGGGGGCGGAGGACAAAAGTAATGGGACAGTGGGTTCTTCAGGGTGGGCAAGGGAGAGGAGTCAGACCCGAGCAGTTTCTCCAGACAGTACCTGCCCCATCCTCTCAAGGAAGAGAACTCACCCGTCTCTCAAGACCTGGAACTAAAGAGGAAAGGGAAAGAAAACAGAGAGATAAGAGTCACTAAGAGTACAGTGGGAGAGAGAGGATTAAAAGGGAAAATTAATTTCACAGCAAACTTGTAAGAACACAGTTGGCTTTGCTGCTAAAGAACCAAGGGATTGGACATTAAAACATAGTCACTACGGGCCAGCCTAGTGGCCGAGTGTTAAGTTTGCGTGCTGTGCTGTGGCGGCCCAGGGTTTTGCCAGTTTGGATGCTGGGTGCAGACATGGCACCGATCATCAAGCCATGCTGAGGTGGTGTCCCACATGCCACAACTAGAAGGACTCACAACTAAAAATATACAACTATGTACCAGGGGGTTTGGGGGAGAAAAAGGAAAAATAAAATCTTTACAATATAGTCACTATATGATGCTTTACATGATACTTTCTGGGAATGATTTAATAAAGACATGTCATTTCTATGATAAATTTAATGTTAGGCATTAAAGTATGAATGCTATTGCTATGTTAGTATTCAAGTAGAACAGAATTATAATTAGGCTTAATAGAACATCGTGAAAAATATAAACTATACAGCAAAGTACTTTCTTGCATAGTCTGCGTGTGAGCAGATCAAAGAACAAAAAGCAAACATGCAATCCTTACACTTCCTGCCCCATGAGATCTTTGGGCAGCACTCAATAGCAGAAAAAGCTCCAGGGGAGATACCGGTTTCCATTAGCCACTCAGAAAGCAGAATAACAACTGGGATCCAGGACATAATTCACTAAAGAATTGTACTATCCTCGTCAGAGGACTGATTCTTCAAGCAGAGATTACCGGAAAAATCAAGACTTGACTTATTGGGAATTCCACACTACAAAGCAACAAGCTTATTTAGCTGACCTAGTGCCTCTTTAACAGAAGCTAAGTACAGTAATTTCCACACAAATTTCTCCTGTTGTTTCTAATTAAGATAGAGTCCCTATTATAAAAAATATAGCTACGTATAAGAAAAGTAACAGTCACTATCCTTGAGTGGTTGACATCTGGACAATTTTTATTTATTTGCATACTTTTCCATATTTCCTGAATTTTTACAAAGAGTATTAATTTTATAACTTAAGAAAAACCTATTTCATCTTGGAAAAATGTTATTTTGGACTTTTTGTCATTTCCAACTATGTTGGAAGTAAAAATGAAACAAAGTAAGTGACATGATATTTGTTGACATCTGAGAATCTCACCATGCTGCTCTTGAATGTAAAAGGAGAAAGAGGAGTGAACTTCTCTATCACTTGTCCTCTACAGCATCTATACCACACATCAGTGAATGTACGATCAAGCTTAAAACATTCAATTATTCCTCTGCATTCCATTCCCTTTCCTTAGAGAAAACATGACTTCCTTTAAGGATTACACTAGGAGCAAGACCCAACGGGTTAACTATTCCAAGAGCAGAGGCAGGAGGCATTGTTAAGGAGGCTGTCGGAAGGACTCAAGTAACAGAGCAGTTCTGAGAACCCAGTCCTCAAAGTCAGACTTTTGTAAAAGGATAAAGACTCCAAGAGATTCCTTGTCCTGTTACCTCCCCAAAATTGAGTGGCTTGGTCTTCTTAGTGAAAACATACAAACACATTAGCTTCCAGAATTGCCTCACTTGCACCAGTAGTAAATTCCTAAGGGTCTCTAAGATGAATAAGTTTTGCAAGAAATCCACAACACAAAATCAGACTGACATAGATCCATGGCGGCTGCCTGAAATAAGCTGATAACTTGGTGGCCTTTCACATAAATATATCTGTTTCCATGTTTTCCAACGTTTATTCACAGGAGATGCTGGGAGCTCCATGGGAGAGGGTAGAAAGGTCCATTGCTGGCCACACACAGATTCACCTTCAATGGTAATAGCTTATGGTTATCGAATACTTAACACGTGCTAGGGATTGTTCGAAGCACTTTGACCTATGTTAATCCATTTAATCCTTATAAAAAACCCTAAGGGATATTACTGTCCTTAGCGTATAGCTGAGAAAACAAAGGCATAGAAAGGTCAAGTAATTAAGTAATTTAAGGTCACAGAGTTAGCAAGCAGCAGAAGGGGGCTTGGAAGCCAACGCTCTGCTCTAAAGCAAGAAATTCAGCTTTGGCCCCAGACTCGCATCCCCAGTCAGCAGAACAAAAGCTCTACAGTAGCAACAGTCACCACTCAGAATGTGGTCTCTCAATTCCATCCTTCACCAGAACTATACGGCTCATCAGGAAAACGGCTGGTACTAAGTCTGGGACAGAAAGTGGACGAAATGTTTCTGGGACACGTTGTATCAGAAAGAAAGGATGCCATCAAAGATTATTGATCATTTCAAAAAGACAGAGAAGCCAACCTGAAGGGGCTCCTGTTGGCAGAGGGGACAAACTGAACATTAAAAAAATAATGACTCCAAGTGAGAGAAACTCATTGAAATAAAAAAATTGATGGGCTTATCCTTGAAAAAATAAAGGAAGACACTAACTATGAAGCCCCGTAATTAACTGGACAGGCCTGCGTTAGTAGTCAGCTTAAGAAGTGTCTACTGTTCCTCAAGCATGCTGCTGAGGGTTCTCAGCTCGAAACAGATTCTTTCCACCACACACACTACCTACTTTGGGAAAATTCTGCTAACTGTGAATTTCTCCATCTTATTATGTTTCTAACGATGTCTATCCCCCTCATACACTGATGCTCAGGGAACTGCCTGGGAGCTCTGCACCGTATCCAGCTCTGAAGAGAACCACATATTATCCTATATAACCTCTGCTACTTATAGACTTAAAACTCTTCTCCTAAAGGGAGCAGCCTGACATCTGCAGTTTTTAAACATTTTGTATCCTGTTTTTCATTTGATCTCACATTATGAGTAACACACGGCGGCACCAAATATATTTTAAAAGGGATATCATACACTAACCCCTTTTGGTGAATTTCCATCGACTGACTCTGTTTCTGAAAGCCGAGTAATCGATTCACGGGTGAAACTGACTGACTTGGATAATTTTTCGTCTCTCTCCCCACAGTCATCCAAGCTGCTTCTTCCTGGACTTCTGTAACATACACAACATTATAGAAACATAAAGAAGGTCATTTCCACACAAATAAGTGATTTAGTCTCCTCACTAAGGTCCTTTTCCATTATAAAGTGTTTTGACAACAAATGGTTTTCTGTAATGTAACAAATATGCTTCTACTTATAACAAGACTATCTTCTTAAATTACATACAAATTGACTTTATTTCTGAAAATAAGATATGCTCATAGGACATTTTATAATTTTAGAAACCATTAAGAAATTAACCAAATACTAGTGGCTGTAACAGCAACTGATAAAATGAATATTGCTTCTTTAAATTTCAGTTGTGGACACCCACAAAGATTGGAAAGGGACAGGGTGGATGTCTGAGGTGGATGCCAGTCAGCACCAGAAGGCAGTTTTAAATCTCCTTGCTTCTGATTTGGTCCCAGCTGAAATGGTGAGCCCCTCCCGGAAGTGGAAGCATCTGATGTCTGAGCACAGAGCCCATGGATCAGTCCGTGGCCACCTTCCTGCTCTTCTCATTCCTCACAAGGTTTATGGAACAGCTTTCAAATGGTCATAGGCACAAGACTACAGTAAATGTCTGGGACCTGCTTTTCCTCTCTCAGGGATCAAAAAGAAAGGAAAGTCTTACAAAAGGAGCACAACTGATCTAATTTCTGGTGCTCGACCTGATAGAGCAATTATTCTTCTCATGTAATCATTGCTACATATAGACCTAAAGCTCTTCTAAAATGAAGTAGCAGCCTGACACCTTAAGTCACATTATCCTGAGGAAGGAACAGAAAACCTACAGAACTTTTCGTCCCTATTCTACTCCCCCCAGATAGCACTTGGGTCCACAACCAAGTCACTCCAGGCCAGGCAGAATGGCAGGGCTCTGAGGAAACCAAGCAAGAAAAACGGCTCCTGGAGACTAGCCTACCTGCTTGCTGACTGTCTGCACTTGAGGATCCTAAGGATGGAGGTGAACTGTGGAGAAATAAAGACGGGAGCGTGAGGCAGAGATTGAAAATGAAGAGAAAGGAGATGGAAGAGCTGAGGAAATAAAGGTTTCAGAGGGATATGCTTCTTTCAGAGACTGGAAGAACGGGAAAAGGAGCAGAAGAGGGAATGGGGATCCGGCCACACCTTTTCTGAGACAGCACTCAATCACCAGAAGAAAACAGCAGCTTTCCTGTGACCTCAAAAAGCTGGACCTTAAAGTGTATAAAGCAGGTCGTCAAAAATATTTATTCTTTCCTTCTTCAAAGACTAGAAACTTTCTGAGTTGGCAGGGACCTTAGAGATCATCTAGTTTAACTGCCCCATTTCACAGATGAGTAAACTGAGGATCAGAAAGGCTAGGAGATTTGCTTGAGGTTGCTCAGCTACTTGGTGGCAAAGTCCAGACTAGAATCCAGATCTTCTTCACCACAATCCAAGGCTCTTAGCATTGTATCAATTGCTCTTCTACTCAGCTCCAGCACCTGAGAGAGGCTAGCAAACTTTACCAGAAGAGCAGTACAATGAACATTTTTAACTTTACAGAAAACTAATAAAATATGAGTGCACACCCCTGTAAAAAAGACTGCATAATACTGACGCTGAACTGAAACAATACAAATAGAAACAGCATAACTAGAAGACTTAGACAGAGTAAAACTTTTGTACACACATTGAGACTTTCGAAAGACTGTCATTTCAAGATGTATTTGCTATAGAATATTTTAATAAGTCTTATTAAGATATAATTCACATACCATAAAATTCATCGCATTCAAAGTGCATGACACAGTGCTTTAAGGGGTTGTGCAGCTATCACCACTATCTAATTTTACAACATTTTCATCACGCCAAAAGGAAACCCCATAGCCATCAGCAATCACCCCACAGTCTCCCTTCCCCCAAATCCTGGGCAACTACTGATCTACTTTCTGCCTCTAGATTTACTGATTCTGGACTCCATTTCATGTAAGTGCAATCGTACAATGTGTGGTCTTTTGTGACTGGCTTCTTTCACTTAGTATAATGTTTGCTACAGAATTTTAATGTGTTAATCCTCAGTCGTTCTTACTGCTACGACCTCAGTTACCATTGGGCAAAATGCACTTTTATTTGTGCAGGTTAATAAAAACGTCCACTCTTCCAAATGAATTCCCATCATTCAAAAACACTCTCTCTCTACTCTGAATGTCTTTAACACATTATCTACTGCTCCTTTTGGCCCTTATCATTTTCAATCTTGTATTAAAATTATTTGCATTCCCCACAGTACTATAAGCTCCTTTCATTAATGTATTCAATATTTATGGAGTGTCAAGCACTACACTGGGGTATCTTGAGGAAAAGTCATATTATCTTTATATCCCTCAAAATATCTACCAGCTAATTTACCTTATTCTTATCTATAAACAGAGAGATTTCACTAGGTACTTCTCCAGAACCTTAATAAAAAGGCTTACTAAAACCACGCTTTAAGCAAATCCTAGGGGACAGAGTTACAAAGTTATCACTTGCTTCTATGTCCCATATTTGCTTACCAATTTAGCAAACTATTCACCGTCCTCACCTTCCACTCCATTCCACTACAGAGAACGAAGAGGCAAATTTCACCCAAGGGTGAATTAACATAAATTCTGAATTAGTAAAGTCTAAAATAATTCCACTTTGATTAATGATTAATAAATCTTGACATTTCAAAACATTTTGCCGTACCTTGGCGGCACACTACCCTCAATCGACAGGGACAAGTTTTCCATCTCCTCAGCGTTTAAGCCCAGCTCAGTTCCATAGTTCTGCTGGAGCAGCTGCCAGAATTCCTGCCTGGTCAAGCTCTAAAATGACAGAAAAACTACACTGAGTATTTGGAAATACAACATAGGATAATATAGTGATGCAAACATGAAATTTGAAGTCAAAATGACCTATTGGGAAGCTACTAGGTGAGTGACTTTGGTAGTTATTTGACTTGGCTAGACGTCAGTTTTCTGCATCTGTAAAAATGGGTTAACAAAACTTATCTGACAGAGTTGATACTAGGAAGAGATAAAATGATGACTTTAAAGTGCATTAATAACTACTATAAACGGAAGGTAAAACATTTAAAATTTTTTTTTATAAAATAATTCGTTCATAGTTTCTGGCAATTACTAACTGCAATTTAAGTTCTGCAACCCAATCAGTCTACCACGACCATGGATCACCATTCAGAGAACTAATCACTAATTCAGAACCAGCCTCTTAATCCATAATGTATCTGAATATTTTAACAATTTTTAAAAACTTATATATCAGGAAACTTTAAATTATAAATATAAAAGGCAAGAGGGTGGAATAGAATACTTCCTTTGATTTATTTTCAATAAAGTCCAGCTTGTTCTTTCTTTGTATGTATCATATCACTGTTAAAATCATCTAATACGAAAAACTCATGCATTACATAGCAAAACAAATACAATAATAGTATGATAACTAATGGTCTGATTTCTAGAAACTTTATAGATGGTTAACTACATGATTAAGCAAGATAGAAGGAAGCAGCATAACATCTGAAGCAATTGTTGGCAAGATTCTTTATTTCTCTCATTCATTCAACAGATATTTACTTAGAACCTACCAAGTGTGTACCACTGCACCAGACGCTAAGGAGGATAAAAATGACGCATAATGATGCTCTCAAACAACTTACAGCTGAAGAAACATGGGAGACTTTTAAGTAAAGTTCAATAGGACAAGCTATAATATTACTATGTACTAAAGTGCCGGTGGAATCAATATGATACAAAAGTCTAGAGGAAAGAAATATTACTATGGATTGAGGTGTTCAGATAAGGCTTCACACTGGAGAAGGGTCTTCAGCTGAGCTGAAGGAAGGACATGAATGGGGGAAATGGAGAAAGGAAAAAGTTTTGGGAGAGGGAAACCAACATACAAATACAGAATAAATACATGAAGAACATAAGTTATATTTGTTTTGAAGTCAGTTAGGAGTTTATCAGCCCAAGTGGAGTAAAAAATTTAAGTTGGGAAACAGTAGGGATAAATATAGAGATTTTATGGGGCAAAAACCTACAGCTGCCTTGAATTCCTCCCTGACAGTCCCCACGACAAATACCGCTTCCTTTTTTCTTTCTCCTTGTTTCTTCTGTCTAGTAGCTGTGACATCTTTGTTTGTTACATTACTCTAGATGACCCTCATTATATTTCATGGGACCTCAAAGAGATTAACAACAAAATTTCTGCACTTTAGAACGCTAGTTCCCAATTTGCTGTGTCCAGACTACTAAGATTTCACAAGAGTAGTTGAGGAAAATTCGGATCTTATGATCAGTTCTTCAGTCAAAAATATCCAAACAGTTCTCTACAATAAAGTTATTCAAGCTAGGTAAAACGTCAGGCCTCTTTATTTGGGGCTGAATTATATTAACCTAGAGTGGTTCTCTCAGGCTGATAAGAAACTCTCAAGGGAAATAATGTATGTCCAATAAACAATAATATTCTAACATTTTATTATTTAATATATACCACTTATTTGGTGGACAAAAAAGTCTTTTGAAGCATAGTGTCCAGAGAAGAAAAATAAAAAGGATCACTAGAGGGAGAGAAAGTTAAGGAACCAGTGTCCTTGATGCTAAAGGCCTCCTTTTCTGACTCCCACTCCAGAAGAGCCATTTGTGAACTTTTTCCACAATAGCAGTTAGCTCATATGAATAATTAACTCAATCTTCCAAATACATTATCTTTGAAATACTTTCAGTGTCATAAATGGATGGTTAACTTTATAGAGAGAAACAAGCACTATTTCAATAAATATATGGAAGATTAACCTTTTATAATAACTTTTCTGAAATAATAGATATCAAACTACTCCAAAAACAGACTAAAGCAAGTAGATAAACCAATGAAAAATATTCACACAGCTTCCTAAGAGTGAAAGAAGTGAAACCTAATAAGTAAAATATTAACAAAAATACAATTTTATTTGACTACATAAATAAATGTTTTTAAACATATTCTCATATATTATCAAGGAGTTAATAGGGTAATTTCAGTATGCTTTTCAATCAAGTAGTTAAAAATATATAGATATATAAAAAGGGTTAATGGTAAACAAAATAGAACTCACTTAATTTACCATCTTACAGATTTGCTAATTTGTTAAAAATGACTTTTTCCACAAAGTTGACCAGAAGTCACAAAAATGTGGTTATTTACAGCCATGCTGAACACTCAAACACTAAAACGTATATCCAGACTGATATTCATAATTCTTTCAAATAATCAGCAGCAGAACCAGGGCTAAGTAACCTTAAAAAATAACCTCGATTTTAAGCAAAGGCTGACCACCTACCTGCGGACGACAGAGAGTCTCCCCATCTCAGCCGGCAGAGGGCTTTAACAAAACAAAGACGAACCGAGCAGGAGTCAGATCAGACTCTAAAGTCAGATCAATTTCTGCCCCGAAAGCTTTGTATTCTAAGTATGCTGCAGTCTTTAACTGCAGCAGTTCCAAATATGTAACGACACCTACGTAAAATCACTGCTTCAATATTCGAGTTTTATGAGACGATTTCCTCATAAAAGACAAGTTCTGTTGCAGTTTAAAGCACATTATTTGTCACTTCCTGGTTGATAGTATCACTCTTTCCAAGGTTGCAGGTTAGAATGCAGAACTGGAAGTTATACCTCACTCCACAGGTTCCTAAGCCACTCCTACTAGGAGAGGACAGGTAAACAGCGTTTCATTAAAGAGACAGTTCCCAATTTCTTCTTTTGTACACACAGATTAGAAAAAATAAAATGCAAACGAAAATATCTTGCTCATGCTCATGTCTACTGCATGTTTATATAAAATGTCTATTGCAATATTATTTTAATGTCATTGTAAAAATTAAATATATTAAGAGTTAAATTTTCTTATCCACGCTAATATTGTCTATTCGGTTCTGGCGGTGTCATCATTACTTCTTCATATACCACTTCCTTAGTACTGATGCAGTAGGCCCAACAGACTCCTGCATTAACCCTTTACAACTAACAAAGATTGTAGCTCTTGAGCATTGTAAACAGAACGTGAGGAAATAGCAGGCAGAGGGAGATTTTCAGGTGTCCAACAAGCCCTCAGCAGATCTTTCACCACTGAAAAGTTTACATCTTGATTTCTTAATAATTCTTTCCTTTAAAAATATTTTTGACTTTATTCAGAATAGTTCCCCAGCAGGGACCTGGACTATAATACACACTATAGAACATCTCATCGACCAATTCCAATTTACTCCCCAGAAGAAAAGTTTTCTCATAAATGAAAAATCAAAGCTTGCCCTAATTTCTACCTAGCCGCTCCATTTAATTTAGCGAGGTGTGCAGACAGGTCAAAGGCTACGCGAGGAACTGCAAGGATCAAGATTTTTGAGGGTTGCTAGAATCTACTCATTTCATAGCAGAGCAGAACGAGGGACTAGCGTGGCCTGCAGAAAACCCCTCCCTCAAACTGAAGAACGCACACTATGGGGGCTAGCTCCCACCGTCTAAAGACTAGTGCTTTTGACATATTACGGTAGTTCTCATTGACCGAAACTGTAGACAGACATCCTTACCCTACTACAGCCACCAAACAGCTATGAGGAAAGTACACATTAACTCTACTGTAAATGATTTGTAGACACTTTCGCTAAATAGAAAAATCCTTCTAGTAAACCACTGGTATGCAGAGCAGCGCTCAATTTAGCAGGCTCGAGAGGGAAAACGGAACCTAAGACTGGGCCGCAAGAACGCCTGGCATGCAAACACTGAGTAGAAGAGTGACCAGCAAAAAAGAACGAGGAAAATACCAGAGCGGTAAGAGGGAAGTGCGGAAAGAAGGATGTCATGGAAACCAAGGGACGGTGTTTCAAAATGGAGGGAGTGCCCAATGGTACGAAATGCTGCTGAAAGATCAAATAAGGTAAGCACCTGGATGGCATGCAGGCGTGCTGAGCAGGGAAGCCGCCTGGCGAGCCAGTTCCCCGAATGGCATGGTGGTCGGGGAAGGAGGCGGGGGAAGGAAAGGCTTAGTGGGGGAAGGGGAGGCAGCCAGCTCAGGAGGAGCCTTGTATGCCATGCTGAAGAATATGGGGTTTACACTGCCAAAATATAAAAAGCCACCTAGTAATTTTACATAGAAAACTAGAAAAGTAAAAAGTTCAGAACCGTGTTTTGAAAAGATAGACTTTTGAAAGTACTACTACTTTGGTAACAACCTAAAGGACAGATTAGAATATCAAAAAGAGATAGGAGACTCTTGTAGTGGTTCAAGCTGGAGATGACGAGGGCCTTGGTGACCAACATGACACGGTTGGCAAAGCAGAGGTAAGAAACAAGGACACAGCCGGGTTCCTGGCTTGGTGACCAGGCAGGAGGAGACACACTTCTCAGACCAAAGGGAAACAGGTGGAGTTCTGCCACCAAAAAGATAAAAAAAAGAGTGAACAAGAGAAGAGCATTTTGAAAAACTTCTACATCGCCGGGCTATTCTATAGAAAATGTGACTAAAATAGTTAGCAAATTCACATTTATTTTTTCCAGATAGGTTTGAAAGTTGCACTTATTAGATTGATAGCACTACTGGAAAACTTCTGGATTTCAAAGTAACTCCAAAAGGAGTCATCACTGGAAAGGAGCCTAAGGAAGGATAAGAGGGTCTGAAAAGGCTGAGGACTCTGTAGCAGAAGGCTGGAAGACACTCTTCAAAAAGGTCTCAGAAGGTGACATTAACTTCAGAGACTGACCACTATTTGGAGAAGGGCCTCAGCACTGCCAGCATCCTAGAGTTGCACTCAGAGTGGCTGATTTAAACAAGCCACGCTCAAAAGTGGCATACACTCACTCAGTGGTCAGTACACTAATACACAGTAGGGGAACAGCCCTTTCCGGTTTTCAGAAGTTTCTCAATCTACCATCTGCAATACCTGAATACCTTGGAAGTCACGTACTAGTAATCAGAAATTTTCATGATAAGCACAGAATCAGAGCAAGGGTAGGCAGTTTTAAGGGACAATTTACTGTGACGTTGGTGGGGCCTGATGACTCATCTCTGTACATTTCTCTAGTAATCAAAATCTGCCTCTGTGACTCTACTTTTGAGTCTTAAGTCCTAAATTCTTGGCCTAAGTCTGGCAAAGCCCCCTTCAGACTGACATATTCTTTCTTTACAGACACTAATACAATCAACTGACTGTTTTTTGGTTTGTTTTTGTGTTTTGGGGTGAGGAAGATCATCCCTGAGCTAACACCTGTGCCAATCTTCCTCTATTTTGTATGTGGGATGCCACCACAGCATGGCTTGGTGAGCGGTGTGTAAGTCTGCCCCCGGGATCCGAACCTGTGAAACCAGGGCCACTGAAGCAGAGCACGTGAACTAAACCACTACACCACTGGGCCAGCCCCACAACCCACTGTCTTAAACCCTTTTTTTCACCAACACAACTGAGGCATAGGACATCCTCTGTCATCCTTCCATTAGCAGTTCCCAAAATAGAAACTGGAGTGACTTGTACCAGAATTTGAAGAAGGTGGGTCCGTATACACTGAAAAAGCTCCCCTCATCAACTCACCCCTAACTGTGACACACGCCTTTTCTTCCGCCCTGAGGGAATAAGTCTGAAGGCCATTTTGTCTCTTCAAGCCTTAGAATTTAAAATAAGTGCAGATTTCTGTTCTATTAGGCCCCAGATTTAAGTATTCACTCTCAAAATGTACTCTCCAATTTCCCCAGAGAGCTAGCTTCCCAGTAGCCCCCGTGTGCTGGCAAGAGAGACCACTACTATCTCTCTGAGAGAAAAATAGTGGGAAAAGAACATTTTGATTCTATATGCATCCTGCTACATTATTAGCATCTTTGGCAACTGAGGATACTTGAGTGTTTCAAGGTAATCATTTGTTCTCACAGCACATACACGTTTAAGAAATTGAGTTAAATGAACACCGAACAGAAGCATATCCTGAAAGTTGTTTCTGCAGCGAAATCTCTGCCTATGTTTTCTCCCTAGTGTTTGCCTTTTCCTTGAGCAAGGAAGTGAAAATATCTCATTAATTAATTGTAATGATTAGGTGATGTCTAAATCATTGAGATTCTACTAAAGGGAGTCACTCAAAGTATTTATAGAGCATTGGCTATGTGTAACATAACCCTAGAACTTATCATCCAAACTGGCAAACTTTTGAGAGTAAAGGGGACACTATTAATATTTACATTGACAGAGGCTTAAACCCAGACAGTCCCAGAGTGCACTGGGTAAACCAAGGTATATGCCGAACGAGACACACGGCTAGTTACGGGACATAAACCAATGAGTAAGACAGACAGGGTCTTCGGCCTAAGGGTGTTTACAGTCAAACAAGGAGAATAAGCATAGAACAAAATTATAACTGTAAGGAATGCTATAAAAGAGAAATGCAAGATGTTACAAGAAGGTGAAAGAATGGACCTGACTTCAGTTTTATTAATAAGTTGCAGTTAGAATTAGGAGTGGAAAAGAACCAGGCACAAAGATGCTGTTTGAAGACCTAGTGCAGAAAAAGAAAATGCAGAACATTTAAGAAGATAAGAACAGGGAGGGTGTGTTGAGATGGGGCTGGAGTGGTGGCCTGGGACCAGATCATGCAGTCCCTACATAAAATTTTAGATTTTCATTCCAAAGGAAATGCGTATTAGCAAGAAGTTAATATTAGCAGGTATACATTGAAAAATAAATAAATAAATAAATTTGGCTGTAGTATTGTTCAGAGGCGAAAAACTGTTTCTGCAAAAGGCCACATAGTAAATATTTTAGGCTTTGTGGCCATTCGATCTCTGTTGCAGCTGCTAAGCTCTGCTGTAGTGTGAAATCAGCCCCAGACAACGCAGAACAGACGCACGTGGCTGTGTTTCCATAAAACTTCATCAACGGACACTGAAATCTGAATTTCATGCCACTATGTCATAAAATATTATTCTTCTTTTGATTTTTTAAAAACCATTTAAAAATGTAAAACCATTCCCACTTTGCAGACCATATAAAAACAGGTGACAAGACTGTCTGTCTGGCTCTTCCATAGACCGTGGAAGGGAGGAGCAGCCTAAACTAAACCACGGAGCAGAGGGGCGGGGTGGGGAAGCGCCTGGGGATTTATCTTAAACCATGAATTTATTTTGTTGGAGAAATGAACAAAAATACACACATGACTTTAAAATCACTTTGTTGTATTTACCTTAATTGAATACTACTTTCTCAATTAATTTGTTTTTAAGACCTCTTCATGCAAGAAATAAGCAAAGTAAGACGTATTTACTTTTTACTGTCACATTCCCTAATGACAAGTAAACATAATATTCTGAACTTAAATTCTCTAAAAGTATTTTGCATATATATAAAATGTATTATTCAAATTACTCATGTTGTTTTATAGAATTTTGTAGTTATGTTGTATATTTTAGGATTTTGTTTTTTCTTCTTCTTTTTTAAACAGTGTTACAAAAGATCAAGAAATCTAACCAATGTAGCTTTATCACTTTAAAAAACTGGAGGGCAACTGAGGCGTGTAAAGTCACAGCCAACAGTGAAACTGCACCAAGCACTGAGCACTGCGCCGCCGGCACCTCCCACCTCCTCAGGCACCTCCCACCTCCTCAGCGGGAGTTGCTATTATTGTAACAGACATTAGTACGTTAAAAAAACTGTTCTTCAAAGATCACTAGGAGATTACAGGAAGTGCAGTTTTGTTTTTGTTTCTGTTTTCTAGTTCTTTGGGTCAATTCTACAATGTTTAAAATTCCAGTTAGGACAGTTTTAAAACAGATTTCAACTTTCATTAAGTTCTGTACAGCACCTTATACATAATTTACACTTAAACAGTGATTTTTGTTTTAGTAGACAGCAGAAATGGTCACCGTTCTGTTTACTAAAATGAGAATCTAGTGTCCACTTGAAATAAAGAGGTGCATGTTCAGCGTTAAAGATACCAATTCAGCAGCCAAAGAGCTGCAAGGTGTAAGCACGGTACAGATGGTGACACTCCTGGTGTACACATCAAGAACCCAGGTGACATCAGGATCTTTTCCAAGAGGGTTAGATTCATTCCCGGCCGGCAGATGCAGCATTTCTCGGCTTTGGTGCCCTCAGAAGTATCATCGAATTCCCTTTCTTCCACCCACTTCAAAGAGCTTTTCTCTCTTTTCATTAAAGTTCAGATCTCAGTTTCCCCCTTGGCTCATCTGTAAACCTGAACTTTATCACTTCCCTGCAGGTATTTGTTTTCATAAGGATGTAGCACCAATCCAATTTTGGGAGGACACTCAGATCCAGTGTATAACCAAATGTGGGCGGGAGTAGCAGTCTGGCTCCTTGTTAGAACGAGGGAATGCACCTCGGGGAGTCCCAGAGCACTCGAAAGACTCGGCATTTGGGGGTGCGGTTAGCCAGGTCCCTAGGGGAACCCTGGAGTTTTCAGGCCGTGCCAGTAAGAGCAGCCCACTGTAATTATGACAGTGCATCTGAAGGTAGCAGGAAAGGAAGGAGGCCTCCCGCAGCACGACCCAGAAGGGCGGCGTGGAGCTGTGGAGCTGCGGGGCTGCAGGCCTTTGCGCAGCCCCTCCATACTCTCTCAGGAGGCTTCCGCGCGCCGCTGGACCCGGCACCGGCGGGCCCGCCGCCTGAGCATCGCCCAGGACAGGAGCACCTGCATCGGGCTCTGGGGAGGCAGGGCACCGAAACGCCAAGAAAGACTCATGGGGGCAAGTGGAGCTTGGACTTGGCTTCCTCCAAAGTCTTGTCTATTCCCTTAGGGAGAGAGGAGGGGCTGGGCTTGGCAAGCTTCTCCACGCCCACCCGCTTCTCCTCTCTCCCCTCCATCTCGGGACTTCCAGGCCACTTCTTTACGTCCCTCCTACTCCAGGAAAGTGACGGTATCCGAGTAGGGCACTGTTTGGAAGACCCTGTCCTCAGCAGCGTTCAACCCTAAGAGCCCCAAAGGCCAAAATGTGTGCCCTCCAGAGGTGAAGTTCCATCCTTCAAGCTTTCTTATCAGCTGGAAATCTCTACTCTTCCCCCCAAGCCACTTTTTTAAATCACAGCTTTATTGAGTTATAATTCACCTACCACAAAATTCACTTTTTTAAAGTGTACGATTTGGAAGCTTTTAGCAAATCCGGAGTTGTACAACTATCACCACTAATTTTAGAACATTTTCATCAATCCAAGAGATACCCAAATCCATTAGCAGTCATTCGGCATTCCTCCCTCCCCCTGGCAACAAATTTATTTCTATTTCTAAGATTCTTCCTATTCTGGACATTTCATAAAAATAGAATCATAGTATACGTGCTCTTTTGGGACTGGCTTTTTTTCCCATAGCATCATGTTGCCAGCTCACCTATGTTGTAACATGTATCAGCACTTCAGTCCTTTTGATTGCTAATACTCCATTGTATGAATATACCTTCTGTTTATCCATTCGTTAGTTGATGGACACTTGGGATGTTGCCACTCTTCAGCTATTATGAATAATGCTATGAACATTCAAGTGCAAGTTTCCGTGTGAACATATGCTTTCAATCCTCTTGCCTATAAACCTAGGAGTGGAATTGCTGGGTCATATGGTGACTCTATGTTTGACATTTTGAGAAACTGTCAAACTATTTTTCAAAGTTTTACAATCCTATCAGCAATGTATGAGGGTTTCAGTTGCTCTACATCCTCAACAATATTCGTTAATGTCTGCTTTTTATTTTAGCCATCCCAGTGGGTGTCAAGTGGCATCTCACTGTGGTTGATTTATATTTCCCTGATTGCTAATGATGTAAACATCTCTGCATGCACATATTGGCCATTTGTATATCTTCTTTGGAGGAATGACTATTCAAACCCTTTGCCCATTTTTTAACGGGCTATCTTTTTCTTGCTGAGTTGTAAGAATTCTTTACATATTCTGGATAAAAATACCTTATCAGATATTAACTTGCAAATATTTTCTCCTAATCCGTGAGCTGTCTTTTCACTTTCTTGATTGGACTCCTTCAAGCACAAAAGTTTTTAATTTTGATGACGTCAAACTTATCTATTTTTTCTTTTGTCTCTTCAGCTTTTGGTGTCATATCCAAGAAACCATTGTCTAATCCAAAGATCATCAGGATTTACACCTACAATTTCCTGAGAGTTTTATACTTTCAGATCTTACATTTAGGTCTATGATCCATTTGAGTTAATTTTTGTATATGGTATGAAGTAAGGGCAAAATTCATTCTTTTGCACGTGGATATCTAGTTGTTCCAGCACCATCTGATGAAAAGACTATTCTTTCCCCATCAAATGTTTTGGCACCCTTATCAAAAATCAATTTACGGTCAATAAGTGTAAGATTTTATTTTGGGACTCTTTTAATTCTATTCCATTAATCTATATGTCCAGACTTACGCCAGTAAGTCTACTGCCTTGATTACTGTAGCTTTGTAGTAAACATTCAAATCAGGAAGTACAAGTCCTCCAATGTTATGGACTGAACTGTATCCCCTCAAAATTCGTATGTTGAAGCCCTAACTCCCAATGTGATGGTATCTGGAGATGGGGTCTTTGCAAGATAATTAGGTTTAGATGAGGTGATGAGGGTGGGGCCCTCATGATGAGAGTTTGCTCTCTCGCTCTCCACCACGTCAGGACACAGCAAGAAAGCAGCTATATGCAAGCTAGGAAGCGTTCTCAACAAAACCCAACCATGTTGGCTTCTGATCTGAGACTGCCAGCCTCCAGAGCTATGAGAAAACAAACTTCTGTCGTTTAAGCCACCCACTCTATGGCATTTTGTTATGGCAGCCTGAGCTGACTAAGACAGAGGTCATAAGGGTGGCGCATTAATCCAGTAAGACTGGTGTTCATATAAGAAGATGAAGAGATACCAGGAGTGTGCACAAAGGAAAAGCCACGTGAGGACACAGAGAAGGCTGCAAGCCAACAAGAGGGGGGTCTCACCAGAAACTCACCCAGCCAGCATCATGATCTCAGACTTCAGCCTCCAGAACTGTGAGAAAATAAACTTCCGCTGTTTCAAGCCACCTAGTCTGTAGTACTTTGTTATGGCAGCCCTAACAGACTGATTCATCCAACTTTGTTCTTCTTTTTGAAGATTGTTTTGGCTATTCTGGGTACTTGGAATTTCCATATGAATTTTAGGATCTGCTTGTCAATTTCCAAAAAAAAAATGCCAGTTGGGATTCCGATAGGCATCGCATTAAATGTGCAGATCAAATTGGGGAGTATTGCCATCTTAATATTAAGTCTCCTGATCTGTGAGTATGAGATTCTTTTTATTTACTTAAGTCTTTAATTTCGTTCAACAATGTTTCGTAGCTTTCAGTGTGTCTTACAGTTTTTTTTGGTGTTTTTGTTTTTTTAAGATTTTTATTTTTCCTTCTTCTCCCCAAAGCCCCTCAGTACATAGTTGTATATATCTTCAGTTGGTCCTTCTAGCTGTGGCATGCAGGACGCACCTCGGCATGGCCTGATAAGTGGTGCTAGGTCCACACCCAGGATCCAAACCTGCACAACCCTGGGCTGCCAAAGCAGAGTGTGAGAACTCAACCACTCTGCCACAGGGGCAGCCCCATCTTACAGTTCTTTTGTTAAATTTATTCCCAAATATTTTACTCTTTTTGATGTTATTGTAAATAAACTTTTTTTTAATTTTATTTTCAGATTGTTCATTGTAAGTGTATAGAAATATAAGTGATTTCTGTATTTTAATTATGTATTCTGCAACCTTCCTGAACTTAGTTCTAACAGGTTTTTACTGGCTTCCTTAGGATTTTATATATACAAAAACATAACATCCACCAAGGGAGATAGTTTTATGTCTTCATTTTTTTTTTTTTAAGATTGGCACCTGAGCTAACAACTGTCGCCCAGGATCCGAACCGACAACACCCTGGGCCGCTGAAACAGAGCACGCAAATTTAACCACTTGGGCATGCGGCCAGCCCCATCTTATCCCTTTTTATCTTGGTCAATATAGATAAAGGTTTGGCAATTTTGTTGAGCTTTTCCCAAAGAAAGAACTTGATTCATTTGATTGTTTCTATTTTTCTATTCTCTATTTCATTCATTTCTGTTCTAATCTTTATGATTTCCTTGCCTCTCTTTGCTTTGAGTTCAGTTCACTCTCCTTTTTCTAATTTCTTAAAGTAGAAAGTGAGGGTATTGGTTTGAGATCCTTCTTCCTTTTTAAAATAGGTATTTATAGTTATAGATTCCCTTCTAAGCACTGCTTTAGCTGTATCTCATAAGCTTTGGTATGTTGTGGTTTTGTTTTCATTTAACTCAAACTATTTTCTAATTTCCCTTGAAAGATTTCTTCTTTCACTCGTTAGTTAATTAGGTGCATTCTGTTAATATCCACTTTGTGTGAATTTCCCAAATTTCCTTCTGTTATTTATTTCTAATTTCATTCCACTGTGGTCAGAGAACATGTTTCATATTATTTCAATCCTTTTGAATTTATTAAGGCTTGTGTTATGACCTAGCATGTGATCTGTGCTGGAGAATGTTCCATGTGTACTTGAGGAGATGCGTATTCTGTTTTGAGTAGTGTCCCATAGACGTCTTCTACTTCTAGTTAGTTTATAGTTTTGTTCAAGTCTTCTGTTTCCTTGTTTATCTTCTGTCTGGTTGTTCTATCCATCATTGAAAGTGGGGTATTGAAATCTCAAACTATTATTGTCGAATTGTCTATTTCTCCCTTCAATTCTACCAGTTTTTGTTTCATGTATTTTAGGGCTCTGTTATTAGGTGCATGTAAGTTTATAATTGTTATGAATTCCAGAAAGATTACCCTTTTATTATAAAATATTCCTCCTTATCTCTATTAATTTTTGTCTAAAGTTTATTTTGTCTGATGTTACTATGGTCCCTTCAGTTCCCTTTGGTTATGGTTTGCATGGTATATCTTTTTCCATCCTTTTACTTTCCATCTTTTTGTGTCTTTAAATCTAATGTGTCTCTTACAGACAGCATGTAGTTGGATCATGTTTTTTTCATTCATTTCTGTCTACCTCTGCCTTCTGATTAAAGTGTTTAATCCATTTATACTTAATGATTTAACGTAATGTCTGTCATTTTACCATTTGTTTTTTATGTGTCTTATGTCTTTTCTCTCCCTCTTTTCTTCCGTTATTGCCTTCTTATGTGTTAAACAGATAGTTCTGGTGTACCATTTTAATTCCCCTGATGTTTCTCTTAGTATATTTTTTAAGTTATTTTCTTGGTGGTTAACCCAGGAATTATAATTAACATCTTAACTTGTAACTGAGGATTTTGTTTTGCTTCAAGTTTCTTCTTGGAATGTGAATAGTCTAATCAAAATTAGCTCCAGAAAAATAAAAAGCTTTTCAACTCACAAAACTGTTCAGGTACAAACTGGGAGGATGCTATTATAACAAACACCTGCCCCCAGTATGAGCACTTACCTTGTCTAATAGTACATTCTGCCACAACCTAAAGATACTGAGGTAACTTCTATCCCTGGCACCAAAAGATGTAAAGAAAAACTGCAAAGAAAGATAACAGGACAATTTTAGCGTCATGGAAAAAAAGGGGAAAGAATCTATCACGGAGGTCTGCTGGAACTTGCTATGGTCAAAGCAAACTAGTAGGTCACCGCTGCCTACTTTATAAACTATTCTTGTTTAACAATAGAAAAAAAACAGGTAACAAGCGCATGAACAAGATGTCTTTAAAAATCGTATCTTACAGCAAATATAATTTTATCAGTATTTACCAGGGAAAGGAGCTTGAAATAGGTGGCTATTCATCTTCACTGTAGTTTAACTATTAAAATCAATTTAAATAAGCTTACTATAAAATTTTATTTATTCTGAACTTTACAAAGAGATGATCTGGTGGCCATTTGAGCCAAGTATACACAAAGAATAAGAAAAAAAATACAACTGGATTTCAAAGATAGATTTATTTTAAGGATCTTAGTTTAAAATTACATCATCTTTCATAGTCTTCTAAAAAACCCAGAAATACCTATTCTCTACTAATTATAGATATAAAACACCCATGTTAATATGAAACTTTGCTTTGAATGTTGTAGAAGAAAAATAGCATGTTTCAATCTATAATTCTATGTTTGCCTTTAGTTCTCTCTTCCTCTGCATTTAACTAATTTTTGCAAAGTCATATTTTAAAACAGGCTTTTATGAGAAAATCTGATGAGTGGCAGCACTAAAAACATTTTCTCAGAGTATCATCTCTTCTGATCCCCTAGTTAGTGAATTTTCATGATTGAGTGGTTATTTTTAGGAATGAGAAAACTCGGATCTATGTTTGATTTATTAAATAAAATGCCAAAAAATAATATCTTGGGTGTTTACACTTTTCATAGAAAGATTTTTAAAGTGCTACTTTCCAATTAATAAATTGAAACCTTGCTATATAATAGTCGTCATAAAGCCAAACTTCCATGACAACGGTATATCTAGGAGCTCTTCCAAATAGAATCACATACATAATATGTGACCTAATAATCACTACTTACTACCCCATTTCCTTTTCTTAGACCAAATTCTTCTGTTTTTTTATATAGCAATCATCTTACAACCCTGTGTTCAGATTATAGTAAGAAAAATCCCCTAGTCCATCTCTTTTTCACCACTGTATTATGCTTACTAATTACCTCTTCTTTTTTTTAAAAAAAAATTTTATTTTTCCTTTTTCTCCCAAAGCCCCCCAGTACATAGTTGTGTATTTTTAGTTGTGGGTCCTTCTAGTTGTGGCACATGGGACACCGCCTCAGCATGGCTTGATGAGCAGTGCCATGTCTGTGCCCAGGATTCGAACCAGCAAAACCCTAGGCCGCCAAAGTGGAGCGCGTGAACCCAATCCCTCAGCCACAGGGCCGGACCCTAATTCCCACTTCTTAAACTAACACTCTGCTATCAGCTTTATCCACTCTTGTATACAACCACCACATTCTCCATTCTCAACCCCTTAACACTCCCATCTTTCTGGATAATCTAGGTAAATTACCATCTTATTTTATTCCTTGCTCAATATCCAACTTCAAAAATTTAATAATAAATCTTGATTCATTAATAACTTTAATTTGGGAGATGTTCTGGATAATGATATCTCTAAGCTGCTGGGGCACAGAACACATGCTAGAACATAACACAACTAAAAGTACCATGATTAACCTTCCTTTAATCATGGATCACACGGGAGGGGTGGACATTTAGTAGTGTAGATTCCTTCCCCAGGACGATGGAAAAAGAGATCATTCAGTCAATGTGGTCAGGCTAGGACCAGGGCTTCTGTAGTTAACCTGCCTGCGTTCACATCCCGGCTCTACCACCTGTTCTAGGACTTTGGGTCACTTTTCTTTAGTTTCCTTATCTGCAAGATGAGAATAATTATAGGAGCAAATTTTTGTGAGAATTAAATGAGAAAATATATGTAAAGAACTTAAAACAGCATCTGAACAAGTATGTCTGGCAAATGCTAGTTGTTGTTATCGTTATTAAAATTAAAATGCTTGACCCTGAGATTCCATTGCATCTGTGAGAAACAGCCACACGTGAGCTTCAGAAGGCATGGGCAGGCTGCTCACCGCAGGAGTGTCTGCAACAGCGAAACACTGGAAACGAACTAACGCTCAAGGAAACCATGGGAAATCCATTCTATGAAACACTATCCAGCACTTCAATAAACAGAGATAGGTCTACGACATGTACTAGCCTGTGACTCCAGGGGATAATGTTCCTTTTTAAGAAAGGAAGACTGTAATCTTTAAAAGTGTCAAGGGCACAAAATTCAAGGAAAGACTAAGGCACTATTCCTGAACAAGGAAATTACAGCATGACAACTAAAGGTAATATGTATTTCTGAACTGGGTCTATTTGCTATAAAGGGTATTATGGGGATAATTGGGGAAGCTGATGAGGATATGAGGATTGAACAGTGGTAATGATCAATGTTAATTTCTTGATTTTGATGGTAATGTGGTTACGCAGGAGAATGTCTTTGTTGGAAATACACACTAGAATATGTGGGGTGATATCTGGGGTGATGAGGCTTCAGTGACAACTTACTCTTGGATAGTTCAGAGGGGAAAAGTTCTTTGTATTATACTTGGAAATGTTCTGTAAGGATGAGACTATTTAAAAATAAAAATAAAACTTAAGGTGCATTTGAAAGGAACTACAAGATTAAAAGGTATTAAAAGGCACAATAATTCAATGTCATGATAGTGTTTCTTTCCTCCCTTCTCTCTCTTTCCTCTTTTTTCCTTTTTTCTTTCATTTATTTCCTTCCTTCCTTCCTCCTTCTCCTTCATTCCCTCCCATACTTTCCTTCTTTTCCTTCCTTATTTCTTTTTCTTTCTCAGAATTATGCTTCTAGTATCACACACAGAGCCGTAATCAATTTTCCAGGTGGGTATAGAAAGGTTCTTGACATATCCCTGTTAAGAAATGGCAGGTATTATAGGTAGATAATAAAAATGATGACAGTTAAAGATAACTGCTATCCCAAAAAAAATCATACTGATTATGTGTTTATTCATATACTACCCAAATCTCTGCTCTCCAGAACCCTTTTTTTTTTTATTAGTTGCTATTGTGCAGATATTACTGACTAAAGAACAATCATGGAATTATCAAGGTTTTTAGAAATAATAAGAATGTTTTGCTAATGCTACCCTACCTACCTCTTATAATGAAGAAAAGAAAAATATGGGAGAAAGTTCTCTGTAAACTATAAAGTACAAAAAAATGTTAACAGTTATTGAAAGTTAATTATCAGTATTTAAGTACCGTACAGAAATCTAGTATTAAATATAACATGTCCCTATTAGATATTCTTAACTCCAAGAAGAACTGCCTGTATTCTCAACACTGATGACCAGTACACGGAAGATTTTCTCCACATTATGTAATAAAGCAAAGGTAAAAAAGTCTTTCACCTTTTCTCCCTCTGTAACGATCTGGATGGCATTGGGGATGAGTCGAGCAGTTTTCTCCTTGGTCATGAAGGTTATATTCTTTAAAGCAATAGAAATCTAAACACACAAAAGAAGGAAAAGTTGCAAAGTGGATTTTTCAGGAACACATATAATATAAAATACCAGGTATTACATTAATCTAATCCTGAATAATCAGTTGACAAACCTGAAACAGTTAATAGTAATAAGCACATGCTTGCATTCTCTAAGAAAAACACGATAAGTAGTCAGCCATTCTCCCCTTCAGCAACGTCCCCCATCAGCTTCCATCTCTAACATTAGGATACAGTGTGAAAAGACACGTGGGCGTTCATGTTCCACATTAACACACACATACACAAACAACATGGAGACCGTCTGTCACAGAGGACATGATTTTGGCAGTCAAAATGGAGTATGTTCAAGCTTTTTTCAACCTGAAATCTTTCTCCAACTGTATTAAATACGTACCAATGGAGCTCAATGTATTAAGAAAAATATACACTTCTACAACGTATAAATAGATGTGCATGTATCCAAGTAAAGATATACAAATATATATAAATTCACTTCGGAATCTAAGTACATTGTTTTTAGGAGGACTGTATACAGTTCTATCTATGCAATTATTTGTGTCAACAAATCAAATCAAAATAGGTCTTACTGTAGTCTCCCATCTGAAGATGTTGCTATAGAAACACAGCCAGTTTTCTGAAAGGTATAGTCGTCCCTGGAGCAAAATGTCCCTCTGAAGAGCACAAGCATAATCTACACACACAAAAATACAGAGCAGCTTGTTCACAAAAACCCAGCAAGTTAATAAATCTCATACTATTTTAACACATGGAAAGCCGTCACTCGATTCATTAGTTCATTCGTTCATTCATTCATTCATTCATTCACTCATACACTTTGGGCACCATATACCAGATATTTTGCTAGGCACTACAGTTATCAGAAATGGGCCTTGCCCTCATGGAAGACAGTCTAGAGGGAAAGGCATACATAAACAAACAAATAAAAAAGATGTTTAATGACCAAAGTGTAGAGAAAGCTATGAGAAAATATGAAAAGGGATATAAAGGTATGGGGGAGTGGGGCAAGGAGAGAATGTGTCAGGAAAAGTTTCCCAGAAAAAGTGATCTTTAAACTGAGATCTAAACATCAATGAAGGGCCAGCTGGACCATGAGGGAACAGCATTTGCAAAGGCCCCATAACAGAAAGAAACATAGCACATTTGAGCAACTATACCAGCATAGATCTCTGTGTGAGAGAAGCTGGAGAAGTTACATCACATAAAGCCTCACAGCCCATGGTACACTGTGGACTTTATGAGAAGCCGTTGGTGAGTTTTAAGTGGAAGGGATATAATCAGCTGTGTATTGTTAAAGACCACTTTATTCACACGAGACTGGATTCAGATAAATCGGTTGGAAGTCTAGGGGAAAAATGAAGGTGACACAGACCAGGAGATGATAGAATTAAGAGAAAGAAGTAGTTAGATTCAGAGATATTGAAGAGGCAGTACTGATGGGGAATTGGGGATAATTAGATGCTGGACAAGGGTGACAGAGGAGACAAGGATGACTCCAAAAATTATATATATTTTTAGTTAGTTTCAAAGTTGATCCTCTCCACCTCAGCACTAAAATCCAGTAAAATCAAGAGTGTTCTGATAAATGCCACTGCCTACCTACAAGTTAACACCATGCCTCTAAGAATAAGACCTGGTTCTGGCTAATGTAAACTGTATGGCTTAATTATTGACAATACAAGAAATAAAGGGCTGCTCTAAGGAGATTCAGTTTGATAAATTCAAAAACTATAAAGTGATCAGCAATTTTAGGAAGAAGTTATTGAGTTTTTAAACCTCAAAATATTTAAATTCAGTCATGTGCAATTTCTAAGCAACTACTAAAAACTGAGCAAAGTAATTCAGTCTTTCGAAATGCTTCCTTCTGCACAACAAAACTGAGATGCCCCCAAATATAGTCTCCGAGTAAATAATTAAGCAGATAGAGTTACTCATTTACTAGTACGCATCTCTAAAACAGGGACGGGGCTAAAGATCACCTTGAGATGTCCTGAAATGTTTATCTAAACCACTTTATTAATTTAATGCTTCTCAAATTGCAGATCAGAAACACTTGGCAGATTTTTAAACCACAGATTGCTAGGCCCCTCCCGGTGAGTTTCCGATTGAACATTTCTGGGGGTGGGAAGAGCGTTCACGCCTAACAAGCTCCCAGGTGATGCCAACTGTGAGAACCACTGCATTTTATGTTAACGACATTCAAAGCTGTAGCAACCAACTGGATTGTTTGAACTGAAGACCATTTGATACAGATTGACAGATTTTTTTCAGTGGTTTTAAAAAAAAATGGTTTTCCTAAAACAGGTATATTTTATTGTAATAAACTTACAACTCAATAAAATTTATTTTTTATAGAATGGCTTCCTAGCAATATGTCCTATGCAAGCAATGGAAAATTTTTTTTAAAAAGCAAAGAGATTTCACTTTTTTTTTTTGGCTCCCAGTTTCCCTACTGATAAGCAAACACGTAATTATCAGCATTTCGGAAGGCAATATTCTCCCTGATGAGTCATATTAACAATCTAATTCATCTGGAATGAAATAAGAAAATAATGTTTATCAAAAATTTTTTTATGATTTTATAACTTTATAACTGGGTACTAGAAAGTCAGAATAACTAAGTAAATGAACCCAGCAACAGAGGTCACTGTGATGCGTGTGTTAACATCGACTTACTAGCTATTACATGATCAGTTTTGGCACAACTGAAGGCTCCACCTCTTTAAGCTTTATTTTAATAACTATAATATAACAAAGGATACAGGGGACATGTGTACAAAGTGTTATGAGAATAGAGATGGCGTGAATCAGCACCATGGACTTCTGGAGTAAGCTTGCACAGTAAGTGGTATACACATATTTAAATAAACAAGATGTATTATTTAGCTTTACCGAAGAATTTAGGCATAGCTATCCAGAAGGGAAATGACAGTGAATTAAAAGAATGTGTTTTTAAACAATCGTGTCGGGAAATACACATCCCAAAGCATTCTCTTCCAGGAGCAATCATCTTTGGGAGCCCAACAATGTTAACATTGCTTTAAGAAGATTCTTGGAACAACATTTTTAGGACTGCTTTCAGATTTAGTATTACAAAAGATAACCATTCTCATTTTTCACACTTTACATTCTTTGTGTGTTATTTTGTTTGCTTTTCACCTGAGACAACTGTAAGGGTAAATACAAACTGAAAAAGAAGAAAATTTTCCCTAGTGCAAAAAGGGAAAAAGACACCCCCACCCCCACCCCCCACCCCACCCCTGCCTTCCTTTAGGGAATTTTCTTTAGAAAACATAAATTCTTTCCCAGTCTCTTTGAGAGGTATGTGAATCTTTTTAAAAGCAAAATAAGGTTTTTGCCAGTTTTACAACCCAGGAATGTTTTCTCAAGGACCTGGGAGCTCTGAAATGTAAACACCAAGGGAGGTAACTCTCTTTCGGTGAGGGTGCAGGAGCCTCATTTTGGTGGTGTCTTACTCCAAGTTGCAAAACTAACTGCCGTCATAAAGAGGAGTTATTTTTTCTTTCCATAAAGCCAATTAGCCACCACAGATAGTCGCCCCAATGACAGGTGAATTTAGGATGAACTATGTGTGACAAATGGTGCTGTTGAGTCCTCCTCCTTGAGGACTAGTTTTCCCTTATCTTTAGGACGTGCGTAAAGGGTGGTATCTGCCTGGCTACATGAAAGGGTGAGATTTCTTTCTGTCTTTACAATCTCTTCTACAGATTACCTGGGATGCACATCACATTCCAGTTTAATGCTTATTCAATAATAAAACTGTTTTCTTTCTCTTCTACTTTTGTGGAGACGTTTTTTTCTGGGTTGGTAAGATATTTTGCTTTTAATTCTATTTCCCCAATGCAACATTTTCTTTGGCCAAGATTAAGCAAGCTAAAAGAGACGGCACAAATGAATATTAGGAGTAAAAAAGTGGGGATATATACGCCAGCTGAAGTAGATGTTTAGAAATATTGTAGGGATAGGTAGTTGCCCTACTCGGGGATTCACACTTGGGATGGGTCAGCTAACAATTTAATTAGGACTACATTTCATCAGGGGGTACTATAAGCCTTTCAGCTACCTATCGCTGTTCAACAATAAATGTTTGGCTAATTAGTATATATGTATTAGAAGTGGGTTTTCATTCATGAAATAGTGGCTTATCAGCATGTTGGATGCTAGACATGGGGTCACACTGGTGAAATCAGCTGTATCGATATACTTGGATTGGTTAAAATATTTTAGAGACCCTTCATCATTATATGCACAGAGTTAAGAATCAACTAAGGCTTCCAGCTGGAGGTATAGCACTTAAGTGTTATTTCCTAGATCAGAGCTTCTCAAACTTTAATGTGTATATAAATTACTGGGGATACTATTGGAGGAAGATTTGTGTCTTCTTTCCCATTTATTTAATTATTCAAGCATTTTTATTTATATCAGTATGGACTCATGGATATTTATTTTATTCTTCAGGTTATAATCCAATATTATCATTATTTATTTCAGTGCCGAAATTATTCTATCTTTGACCTCTGGGAGTTCTTTCAAGTTAGCTCCTGTCTTTTTTTTTTTTTTTTTTTGTAGCACTTCCTTGCTTTTAAGCATTATAAGATACTCCAAAGTCACTCATCTTGTATTTTCACTGCTCCACCCCTAGAACGGAGCATTTCTTCAAGGAGTTCTCATTCCTTTCATTGGAGAACGGTACCTAGAGACCAAAATCTGGGTCATGGACATGCTCACTGCTACTGGAGCATCACTGTTTCTAGGCCCTCTCAGCAGACAGAGCTGGGAAATGGATGTACTAACCCATCCTTGAGCGCAGTTATGTCATTCATCTGTGATACAGTTCAGAGTCTTTTCTCAGTCAGCATTCCATCCTGGGATCTCCCAATATGCTGGTTGATTTTTCAATTTTTATCCAATCAAGTTCTCTCTATAAAGGTTTAACAAATGCACAGAGTTATGTAACTACCATTCCAGTACCATATAGAACCATTCCATCACCCTAAAAATTCCCTTATGAAGCCATTCTCCCCTCCTAGTGATCACAGATCTCTTTTCCATCCCTACATGTTTGCATTTTCTGAAATGTCATGTAAATGGAATCATAAAATATGTAGCCTTTTGAGTTTTGCTTTTTTCACTTAGAAAAACGCATTGAAGATTCATCCATGTTGCTGTATCAATAGCTTGCTCCTTTTTATTGCTGAATAGTATTCCACTGTATAGATATAACACAGTTTAGTTGTTCATTCACCAGTTGAATGACATCTTGGTTATTTCCAATTGTTAATAAAGACTCCATAAACATTCATGTACAGGACTTTTATGAACATAAGTCTACAATTCACTTGGGTAAATAACTAGGATTCCTGGGTCATATGGTTAAGAGTATGTTTAACTTTATGAGAAACTGCCAACTTGTCATCCAAAGCAGCTGTACCATTTTGCATTCCCACCACTAATGGATGAGAGTTCCTTGTAGCTTTGTATTCTCATCATCATTTGGTGGTGTCAGTTGTTTTGTTGTTGTTTTTAATTTTAGCAACTGTCATAGGTATATAGTTTAATTGTGCTTTTAATTTGCATTTCCCTAAGACAACTGATGTTGAGCTTTTTTTCATATGCTTATTTGCCATCCATTTATCTCTTTGATAAATTGTCTATTTGCCCATTTTTTTAACTGGGTTGTTTGTGTTCTTATTGCTGACTTTTAAGAATAGTTTATTTTTATAGATATATATAAAAATATATTAAATAAAAATATATTAATCAGATATGTGATTATCAACTATTTTCTCCCAGTCTGTGGCTTGTATTTTCACACTCTAAACAGTATCTTTGCATAGCAAAGATTTTAATTTTGATAAAGTCCACTTAATCAGTTTTTTCTTGTATGAATCAGGCTTTTGGTGTTGCATCTAAAAATTCATCATCAAATCTAAGGTCACATAGATTTTCCCTAGAAAAACACACGTTTTCTTCTAGAAGTTTTACAGTTTTACAGTTAGGCTTACAATCCATTTTGAGCTAATTCCAGTATAAAGTGTGTGGTATGCATCAAGATTCACGTTTTTGTATATGGACATCTAATTGTTCCAGCCCAATTTGTTGAAAAAACTAACTTTTCTCCATTGAATTTGCACCTTTGTCAAAAATCAGTTCACAATATTTGTGTGAATTTATACACAGGCTTTTTTTTCTGTTCCACCAACATAACTGTCTGTCCTTTGGCAAGTCTCATACTGTCTTGAGTACTCGAGCTTCAGAAGTCTTGTCAAGTAGTATGTGTCCTCCAGCTTTGCTCTTTTTCAGAATTGTTTTGGATATTCTAATGCCTTTGCTGCTCCATATAAATTTTAGAATCAGCTTGTTAATATCTATGAAAAAGCTTGCTGGGATTTTCATTTGAGGGAATTGAGATCTTAACAATATTGAGTTTTCTGATCCATAAACACTTATTTAGATCTTCTTTTATCAATGTTTGGCAGTTGTCAGCATATAGAACCTGCATATTTGTTACGACTTATACCTAAGTACTTCATTATTGGGAGGTTCTGATACAAATGGTATTTTTAGAAGTCAAATTTTAGTTGTTCATTGATAGTATACAGGAATATGATTCTTTCTTTTACCTTCAATAAACTTGCATTCCTGTGACTTTACTAAACTCACTCATTAAATCTAGGAGCTTTCTTGTCTATTATCTGAGATTTTCTACGTGAATAATGTTTTCTGCCAATAAATTAAGGTTTTTTTTTTCCTAACCTGGATGCCTTTTATTTCCTTTTCAAGTGTATCACATTCACAACTTCAAGCACAATGCTGAGTAGGAGTGATTAGAGAGGACATATTTACCTTGTTCCTAATTCTAGGTGGAATGTGATTTCTCATCATTAAGCATGATGCTAGCTATAGGTTTTCCTGGTTGCTTCTACGGAGGTTGAAGAAGTTCCCTTCTATCCCAAGCTTGCTGAGAGTTTTTATTACGAATGAATGTCAAATTTTGTCAAATGTTTTTTCTGCATCTATGGAGACGACTACATGGTTTTTCACATTTAGTCTGCTCATATGGTGAATTACATTGACTGCTTCTGAGTGTTGAACTAGCCTTGCATTCCTGGAATGACCTTCACTTGGTTATGATCCATTATCCTTTTTATAAATTGCTCAATTTGATTTGCTAATATTTTGTTTCAGCTTTTCACATCTATGTTCATGAGAGATATTGGTCTTTAGTTTTATTTTCTTGCAATGTTTTTGTCTGGTTTTGGTATTTTGGTAATACTAGTCTCATAAAATGAGTTGAGAGGTGATCTTTCTTATCTTCCATAAGAGCTACTATTTCTTCCATAAAAGGTAATAAACTTCACCACTGCAATCATCTAGTTCCAGAGTTTTCTCTTTTTGGAAGGTTTTCAACCACAAATTCAATTTCTTTAATAGGTGTAAGGGCTATTCAGGCTATATGTTTCTTCTTGTGTGCGGTTTGGTAGTTTGTATCTTTCAAGGAATTAGTCCACTTTATCTGTTATTACATTTATGGGCATAGAGTCGTTCACAGTATTCCTTATTATCCTTTTAATATCCATGGGATCAGTGGTGATGGTCCCTCTTCCATTCCTCATACTGATAATTTGTGTCTTCTATGTTTTTTCTTGGTCAACCAGGCTCTTGGTTTATCAATTTTATTGATGTCTTCAAAGAACCAGCTTTGGTTTCATTGATTTTCTCATTTTTTTCTCTATTTTCAATTTCATTGACTTATGCGCTAGTCTTTATCATTTCTTTCCATCTGATTGCTTTAGGTTTAATTTCCTCTTTTTTATACTTCTATGAGGTATAAGCTTAGGTTACTGATTTTACTTCCTTTTTGTTTCCTAACAAATGCATTTAACGCTATAAACCTTCCTCTATGTACTTACTTTAGCTGCATCTCACGAATTATTTTCATTTAGTTCAACTGTATTTCACACTGTTGACCTATCCTGACTCTTACAACTCTTTGCACCCTGGAATACTGTGATACTCCTTTCTTCCGGATCTTCACACACTCTGTGACCTTTCCTTCTGAATCTTTTACTGGATTCTCCTCTTCTATTGATGCCATAATTCTTTTTTTAGTATTCTTTTAACTCTACATGTTATCCACAGTTGAGCTCATCTATTCTTCTGATTTTAAATGATATCGATATTCATTTGCTTACTCATTCATTCATTATCCATCAACCATCCATTCAATCATTGAGTACCCATTATTATAAGTCCAATACTGGCCTAGGTGTCAGTGTTACAATAGCAAATAATATAGATAATGGTCCTGTAAATATATGATAGAGGAAAGTGCAAGGAACTTATGGGAATAGCAGGGACATCTATCCAGAGGTGATATTTAAAATAACAAAATTGGTCACCCATCATAGTGCTGGATCAGAGTTCTACTGGGACCTGTGTCAGACACAAGCCATTTAGCTGCTGGATCATGAAAACATCCTAAGAATCCTAGAAGAGAGGCCAGGAAAGCCAAGGTATGAGGAGTCACTTGTGGGACTCAAGGCAGTAGCTATTTATCAGCCACTGTTTCAGTATTTTAATTACTACTACTGCTGCTCTGGTGAGCAGTAGCTGAATATCACACCTGCACCCAACCTAGTCAAATAGACAGCAAAGGCATCCCTAAATGAGTAATATGTAAGTAAGTCTAAAATATAAATAAAAGATAGCCAGGTACAGAGGAGGGAAAACAGTTCTAGACAAAATGAAATAAAAAGGTTTGGAAGTAAAAGGAAATGCCGTATATAAAGAAGTTTGACTTCAGAAAGGGAAGTCAAGAGATTGAAGGGAACTTGATGAAAGATGAAGGGTAGAGGATATTTAACATACATCTAAGGCCATTTAAGCCAGGAAGTCAAACTTTATTCTAAGGTCACTGGAATGCCATCCATGAAGGGTTTTAATCTGATCAGATCCACATTTTAGAAAAGCCATTATAGCTACATTACTGAACAGACTGAAGGCATGCAAGATGGGAGGAGAGGTCAGCTAGAAGACTTCTGTGATATATACTAAATCTTTATTTCCAGATAATATATCTACATAGTGGATATCTTGTCTTGGCAACTCAAACTCAACATGCCCCAAATTAAAATACTTGTCTTCCTCCAAGATGGTAAGTTGTGTCTTCCTTTGTACTACTTCCATACCTTGTTAAAACTGCTCATGCCACCCTGAGTCATAATGATTTGTATATATATCTACTTTCCTACCAGACTCTGAGTTCTTCAAAAACAGCACGGTGTCTGGCATACAATGAGGGCTAATAAATATTTATTGAACTAACCTATGAAGTACAATACTGTGGGTTTGTGATGACGCTGAGTTGTTTTTAAAACTGAAAAGTTAAATTAAATTTAGGACACTGTATCAGAAGACAGTGATGCAACATATGGTTAAATCTAAGAACTCAAAGCCATTTATAGAGAATGATCCCAATTACATACTTTAATTTGTATAGGTATGTCTATCATTCATATTATTTCTGGATGGTACAATTATATGTGGTTTTAGTTTTCTACTTTGTAAATGTCTGTATTTTCCAAATTTTATAGAATGAACAGGTTTATTGTAGCAGAAGAAAAAATATAAAAATGTAGATTTTTGAAAGCAAATTTACACAGTGAAAAATATCTAGAAAGCTATCCACAAATATTAACCAAAATTATATATAGGTGGTAGGATCACCAACGATTTTCAATTTTCTCTTTCTATTTTTCTGCATAGCTTCAATGTTTCATAATGAGTTTATATCACTGCATCAGTTTCTTTCAGGAAGGCAGTGATGACTACGACACATTTTATAAGGGTTTCCATGAAAAGCATGTGATTTCAAGTGACAACCTGACAAGAAACATTCACAACACACATGAAAAATGTCTAATTTTTTAAACATTTAATAAGCTACTACAAATTAATAAAAAGACAAATAACCACTAGAAAAAAATGGGCAAAGTTTATGAAGAGAAAGGTTCACAGAAAAAAAAATACAAACGGTTTATAGACATATAAATAGATGTTCAACCTCCCTCATAATTAAAGAAATGTATATTTACATAACGATCAAGTACCCTTTCTACCTACCAAATTTCGCTAAAGCAAAGTTCCTAAGGTGTGGCAAACCAGGTACTTAATATGCTGCTGCTGAGAATGAACACTCATTCAGCCTTTTTAGGGGTAACTTGCCAACACTAAACTTTTAAAATCTCATTACCTTTTTGGCACAATTTCACTTGACGGAATTTATCCTACCATACGTGGGCACACGTGTGCCAAAAGAAATGTACAAGAAGGTTCGGTGTAACATTGTTAGTAACAGTAAAAGACAGGAAGCAATCATAATGTCCCTCAATAGGGGATTTGTTACATAAATTATGGTACAACATTCATTCAGTTGAATACTAGGCAGCCATTAAAGAATGAAGTGGATCCAGGGTAGTGCTAACAGAAGGAGCTCTAAACAAGATTCAGACAGTAAGCACAGTGTCCTCCCACTTAAGTTTTGTTAGGAATATATGTATATTCCCCTTGAAATACAACAGGAAACTTCTGGAAATATAAGAAACTACTAAAAATGGTTATCACCTAAGACAAAGGTCACAGTGGTCTCAGTCACAAGGACCACTCTCTTTTCACTACATGCCCTTATGCAGTATTTGAACATTTATCATGAGAATGTATTACTTTCAAATGGTCTTAACAGTTGTTTTAATTCATTATTATGATATTTAAAATACTGAGCTCAACTATCTAGAAATTCAGTTACGCTGTATTGCACACTGCCCATCAATACCAGAAACCTGACAAATTTCTAGGAATAAATGGTTTGAATGAAATATATATTAAAACTAAAACCTAGTTCTTTATTTTGATTGTAAAGAATCTATGTCAATCTTATATCAAAAATAAAGCACTTTTATGTACAGCACAGGGAATACAGTCAATAACACTGTAATAGCTTTGTATGGTGACAGATGGTAACTTGACTTCCCATGGAGATCATTTCATAATGTATACAAGTGGAAAACCAGTATGTTGTAAACTTGAAACTAATACAATATTGTATGTCAACTATACTTCAATAAAAAAAAAAAAGCACTTTTGTAAAAAAATGACTAAATTTTTCCTCTTAACGTCTATTTCAAAAATAATCTACATCAAAGATTACATGAATAATGATATAGCCCTAGAAAATTTTATGAAATTGCTCTATAATCCATTAAGGAGTAAATTTTCTGGAGACAGTAATAACTATTGAGCATCTAATTTAAATTTTCCCTACAAAATCATACGAAACAAGCACCAGAAGAAATTGTGACAAATCATTTCCTTTTGGTTCTATTTTCTTAGCTAGCACTCAATATTTTTATAAGTCGGAAATCACTCCTCCCTCAATTACAACTTAGTTTTACATTGCCTAATCACAAACGATAACATGCTGCTTATGGTAGCATAAAGGCCTAAATCTACAAATATTGTCACTCATCAGTTCTATTTTGATAATGAGGGAGAAAAATGGGTTTTTGGCAACTTCCTGTCTTGTTTACCTGCTATCAACTTCTCTGTATCAGGTAGATGTGTGAACTGTCTTTTGTATTCCTCATTCCTGTCTTTATAGGTGGAACTTGAAATCTGCAACAACAAAAAGATTTAATTTCTGTTTAATTATAATCTTCATTAGATAAATTGAAATGCAGTGTCTTAGAAAATAAATTTAAACCGAACTTTAAAATAATATGCTATTGTGCAATATTTTGTGTGTCTTTGTATGAAAAACGACATAAACATTTCAAAAATCACCCAAAGGAAGCAACGTAAACTTTCAGCACAATGGAGTGAGGAGTTTGGCAAACCCTCCCTGCAAAAGCAAACAGATAGCTGGGGGAAAAAACTATCAAAAACAATCATCTCAAATTATTAGAAACTGACCAAAAGCATACAATAAACTGAGAAGTATTTGTTCATGAAAATCTACTGAACTTGGGAACAGCAGTCTGTGGCACTGTTTCCTTGGCCCGCTCCTGTACTCTTCCTCCCCCATCAGTTAAGTCAGTGTGGTGTTTCTACAAGGACAGAACAGGCCATGAAAACTAGCAGCTATGCTGAGAGAGGGGGCTGAGTTGATTCAGAGTGGAGAGCAGAAAACCAATGTCCAGAAGTGAAATGGAAAATTCTGAAGCTACCCAAGTGAGTGTGAGGTTGCAGTCCTAACTGGGGCAAGAAACAAGCAAACTGGCAGGTTACTGGGGACTTAAAGAGATCTTGGAGGAGAGACAGCCATGGACAGGCTTGATAAACTCTCCATGCATTCCTGGCTGAAGAGAGCCTGCATGTGTGTGTAGCAGAGACTAAAGAGATCCCAGACTATCCACGAAGTCCTTGTTGGAGACACAAGAAATCTCAGAGGAACGTAAAAACTGAGACAAACTTGAAAATGCATTGAATCTGAGCGTGTTAACCAACTACACACAGATCTGTCTGCAGAAGGGAAAAGTCTTACTGGCTCTATGTTTTTGAGCACAATTTCTGACAAATCATTGGCTGACATAAGGGGTAACCACTGAGAAGACAGCCCTAAAAATAAAAACAACAACAAACTGAGCAGAAACATTCATTTATACATGCCACAGGACAAACAGATTTCACAGATTTACTCTAGGCAAGGTATTAAACAAACAAAAATCAGCAATGACAGGCTTTAGGGGCAGGGAGGATGCAATCAGAATCCAGAGTTGCTACAATATATTATGTAAACTGTAAAATTTTCAACAAAAATTGTGAAACATTCAAAGAAACAGAGGAATGCCACTCATACTAATAATGAAAAAAGCAGGCAATGTGGTCTTTCAGGGTCCCTAGATACTGAATTTAGCGCAGACATCAAAGCAGTTTGTTATGTTCAAAGAACTAAAGAGAACCATGTTTAAAGAATTAAAGGAAAGTATGACAACAATGACTCAACAAGTAGAGAATCTTGACAAATAGATTTTTTTTTAAATTTTAAGAAAAAAAGGACATTCTGAAGTTGAAAACTACAGTCACTGAAATAAAAAATTCACTAGAGGGACTCAACCAAAGATTCAAAATGGCAGAGAAATAATCAGTGAACTTAAAGACAGATTAATAAAAATTATCCAATTTGAAGAATAGAGATGAAAAAGATTATAGAAAATGAACAGACTCAGAGACCTGTGGGATAACATTAAGTTATTCAAAATACATGTAATGGGAGTATTAGAAGGGAAAGGGGAGGCAGAAAAACATTTTAAGAAATTTTTCAAATTTGATGAGAAACATTAATCTACAGATCAAAGAGGCTCAACGAACCCCAAGTAGGATAAAGAAAAGAGTTTCAGACTTGGACATACCACAGTTAAATTGCTGAAAGACAAAGAATTTGAAAGCAGCAAAAGAAAAATGACTCACGAACAGGTAAAAAACAGTATTACTAATGGCTGACCTCATCATAAACAATGGAGATGGCAGATCTGCCTTAAAGAATTACTAAAGGAAGTTCTTCAGCTACAAAAAAATGACACAATATAGTAACTCAAATTCACAAGAAGAAATGAAGAGCACCAGAAGTGGAAATATGTAGGTAGCTACAAAAGAGCATACAAATCTATTTTCCAATTTCTCTCTTAACATCTTTAAAAGACCTAGGAGTCTATACAGCAACAATTATAATATTGTATTGTAAGGTTTGTGAGATACACAGGTGTAATATATATGACAATAATAGCACAAAGGAGGGTAGAGGTAATGGATCCAGGTTGCAGCAAGGGTTCAATATTTTAGCAGAATTAGGTTAATAATCCAAAGTATATTGTGAGAAGTTAAGACGTATACTGTAATCCTTCAAACAATTACTAAAAAAACCTCTCAAATACATTTTTTTAAATTAAGAGGAATTAAATTGGTATCCTAAAAAATATTTGACACATAAAGAAAGAAGTAAAGGGGGAGTAGAGGAACAAAAAAGATATGTAACATAGAGAAAACAAATAGTAAAATGGCTATTTGTAAATACAATCATAAAATTACTTCATTAAATATAAATGGACTAAACTCAGAGACCGTCAAACTGGATAAAAATAGACCCAACTATATGCTGTCTATAAGAGACACATACCTTAGATGCAAAAACACAAAGAGGCTGAAAGTGAAGCAATGGGAAAAGATATACCAATGAACAGTAACCACGGAGAACCTGAGTGGTTATATTACTATCAGCTGAAATAGACTTTAAACAAAAAATATTACTAGGCACTAAGAGATACTTTTATAATGACAAAAAGGTCAATATATGAGGAAGACACAACAATTATAAATGTATACACATCTAACAACAGAGCTGCAAAATACACAAAGGAAAAACTGACATGACACAATTGAAAAAACAGACCGTTCAACATAAGTTAGAGATAGCAATAACCCCTTCTCAATAACTGATTGAATGACTAGACAGAAAATCAGCAAGGATAAGACTTTAACCTTATTCAGTCATTTGTGACAACACGGATGGACCTTGAGGGCATTATGCTAAGTGAAATAAGCCAGACAGAGATAGACGAATACTGGGGGGTATCACTTTTATGTGGAATCCAAATGAAAAGTCAAACTTATAGGAACAGAGAGCAGAAAAGGGGTTGCCAGGGGCTGAGGGGTTGGGGAAACAAGGAGAGGTTGGTAAAAAGGGTACAACTTTCAGCAATAAGATGAATAAGGTCTGAGGATCTAATGTAAGACATGATGAGTATAGTTGATAACACTGGATTGTATAATTAAAACTGAAATTTGCTAAGAGAGTAGAGCTTAATGTTCTCACCAAAAAAAAGACGACTAATATGTGAGGTGATGGATGTATTAATTAACTGGATGGGAGTTGTCCTTGCACAATGCATATGTACATCAAATCATCACAATGTACACTTTTTAGCTTACTATTTTGTCAATTACACCTCAATAAAACTGGGGGGAAAATACATTTCCACCGATAATACCTGACTGGCACTTATAAAACACTTCATTCAACGACTGCAGAATACACAATTTTTCAAGCACACATGGAACATTCTCCAGGATAGACAATATGCTAGGCCACAAAACAAGTTTCAATAAATTTAAAAGTACTGAGGGCCCGCCCCGCAGCCGAGTGGTTAAATTCGCGCACTCCGCTTTGGCGGCCCTGGGTTTCGCGGGTTCCGATCCTGGGAGCGGACATGGCACTGCTCATTAGGCCATGCTGAGGCGGCATCCCACATCCCACAACTAGAAGGACCCACAACTACAAAATACAACTATGTACTGGGGGGATTTGGGAAGAAAAAAAATTTTTAAGTATTGAAACCATACCCGGTGGTATATTCTCTGTCAAGAATAGAATAAAATTACAGATCAACAACACAAGGACTACAGCCCAGCTTCAAGGCAATTTAGTCCTTAAAAGTGGAATAAGGCGATCTCAGACTGCTTGCCAGGGTATATGAAAATCCTCTCTTGAGGAAGACAACATTGCCCTAGGACTCAAAATGTTTCTACAAAAATGGTGGGAAGAAGGGGCCGGCCGGTGGCGCAGCAGTTGAGTTTGCATGTTCCGCTTCCGCAGCCCGGGGTTTGCTGGTTTGGATCCCGGCTGCGGACATGGCACCGCTTGGCAAGCCATGCTGAGGTAGGCATCCCACATATAAAGTGGAGGAAGATGGGCACGAATGTTAGCTCAGGGCCAACCTTCCCCAGCAAAAAGAGGAGGATTGGCGGCAGTTAGCTCAGGGCTAATCTTCCTCAAAAAAAAAAAAAAAAAATGGTGGGAAGTAGAGAAGAAAGGATAAGAGTCTGAGGATACGGTGAGATGTTCTAACACACAGTATCTGGAGTCCTAGGAAGGGAGAGAGAATGAGGTAGATGTGATATTTGAAGAGATAATGGCTAAAAACTTTGCAAATCTGGTGAAAGACAGCATATGTTCAAGAAGCCCTACAAACCCAAAGCAAGATAAACCAACAGAGAGCAATACTAGGTTAAAGGACAGGAGTTACATTCATTGGCCAGAATGGCTTAAGAAATGCCATAAAGAATCCTGAGAGTCAAAGATTAGTGTACATATGACCTTGCTGAATACTTCAAGAAAACTGACTCAGAGGATATGTACACGGAAAACTGCCTGAGCAAAAATCCTAGAGACAGGATCTAACAGCATTATCTGAGAAACATCTTGCTAAAGAATACCATTAGTGCTGCCGTGAATGTGTCAAGAATTCCCTGCCTAAACTAGAGACAGTGAGATACTGACCTAGACCAAGGGGTATCTCAGTGAGACTGCGCGAACGGGGTTGTAGGCAACAAGGCAATCGATCCTCTTCACCATTCATTAAAAAACTGAATGAATTCTATTTTATAAACCAACCTGTGCTCTGAGAAGCCCTTATACACAACAATTGAATAACAACACTAATAATTAGTGTTCCTAAAGATGACATGCTTCATCAAGGATAATCTCATTTTAGAAAGATTTTCACTAAAATGAAGATTTCAAATTTATTTTAAACTAAAATTACATAATGAGGATAAAGTATAATGAGATTAGTATATCCTCTCAGACACTACAGCTAGGTGTATAAATTGATACTTTT